ACTACAGCACTATAGTAATAGCTTACATCTTTGCATCTGCTTGCTGTACTCTGACATGTTATCTGGGCGAATAGATCTCAGAAATTTTATGTAGTCATCGCTGTGGTACTTGGTCATTTCTTCTGCATTTGCCTTGTGAGGGCGCTGCAAGGACAAGAAAAGAGCAAGGCTTGTTTTGAAACACATATCTCCCCCTAATTTCCATTTCCAATCTCAGATTTACTCCCAGGAACAGCAAAACACTCAAAACAGCAGCATTAAACAAGAGAAACTTATTTTCAAAGGCAACAATGCCACTACCAGAGACTGCCATGTGTTATGCATGTAGACAAAGAAAATATTGAAGTTACAGGTGGAAAAGCCATTTTCCAGCCTGCAAAGCTTATCTGAAGCAAAGATCATCCCACTACAAGCAATCAGAAGAAAACAGAAACGCATCAGCACAACCGTTTTGGTTTTGTTTCTTTCTTCCTTTCCTCTTTGGCTCGTCAACAGACAACTTAAAATTCTGAAGTAACAAAATTAAAACCTGACACATAAACTAAGATCTTTCATATATATATATATTTATTTTCACAAACAGCCCTATACTTACATATATCTCCATCTTCCTGTAGAGGCCATAGTTCAGCAGTAGGTTGTGGGTCATCCGGATCCTGTGGGGTTTCATCGGATGTCCTTGGCCATAATAGTAGTTTCCAACATCACCTGGGAGCAGAAAGAATTTTGTTACTGCAGAGAAAACTATGAATTCATGCAAACAGAGTCACAGCTGAGCCACAAGAGCCACCAGGTCATCTCTGAGTTTATTTGTCCTTCAGCAGTGCATCTGTTCACAGGGGATAGGGTCTCCCACCTTCCTTGCACTGTTATCTCCACGGATTCAGAAAAGTTTATCCTATACTCAAGTAAGACAGTTGGAAATTAGGGCATGGTAACACAAGGAATTTTTTAATGACAGTACTGGGGAAGGCAATCCAGGTAGAGTCTGAACAACTAACATCACAGTGCACAAGTTAGGAAGAGGGAGCTCCAGGTTCCTTGGGCAAGGGGAGCTTTGGGCACCACATCTGTGTGTCCTCACTCAGCATATGACAGCTCTCCAGTGTCCTCTCCAGGCAGTTCAGGTCCACTATGAGAGCTCACAGCTTTCACCGAGAAATGCAACTGTGCTCTGAGCAGAAACCCGCATGCCAAGAGACCTGCCAGTTTAATCCCGGTTCAGACCATGACTCATCAGACAGAGCACGTAGCCTCTTTGCCTCAGTTTCTTGCTATTTACCTAACAGAAATGACATAGAAAGCAGCTAATTCTGTCAACAAGCAGCTGTAGTTTTACAGCCCCTCAATCATTTTCACAGTTTATTATTGCTTGAAATCCTTCAGAGGAACCCCAGTCCCTGAGAACCGCACACTCCCGCAGATGCACTTGACGAGCTATCCTATGGGCACTGGCGTTAATGAAATTACCTTCCTGCAAATATATCCCACAGGTCATCTCCCCATGCAATTTTCTCCTCCCTAGCAAAAGCTGAGCTTATACTGCACTCTCCCACGGTAGGCACTGCTAACTGGGTTTTTTTTCCCCTCCTCTCCCAGGGTACTTATTTTCATTAAACTTACAGAAATTTAACTTTCAGATTTCAGACTCCTGCCTGATTTGGCTGCGAGAGGCACAGACTCAAAAGTTGCCAAGAGCAGGAAATGTGCAGTCAGTCACACGCAGCAGCAGCATCGCACAAGCCTCATTTTCTTGGGAAACCAGATTAAGTTGTTCATGTAGTTGTACAACTCCTGATCAGTTTAGGAAGCAGGAGACGCAATCCAGTCTGGCTGGTGACTCAGTCGGGAGTATTAATATTTCATCACCAATCTTAACATTCAGGAGAAACTGCTACTTCCTCACAGTATGCAGCTGTAGTTTTTCCCCCTGTGGATGTGCCTCTATTTTCAGTCAAACTAGATGCAAACATTGCAAATCCCACGCCCAAATAATTCTGCTGCTGTAGTTTACCTGTACATGGCACCATAATGAAATGGGGTCTTCTTTGCACAAAGGTATTTTACTGGGACAACTACCCCTATAGCAGAATCAGGTTAAATCAAGCTTTGGGGAACTCAGTAAGAGATGCTTAAGACCCTACCTAGAAAATACAAGCACAGAACTACACAAAGCTTGGAAAAATCATCATCACCATCTTCACCTCAGGCTGTCAGTGAAATGCCCTGGGCAAACCCTGACTTCCAGAGCCTGTTCATGTTCAATCTGCTAAACACATCCCACCACGAGTCCTGCAGAACAGCAGATGAGCTTGTCTGCTCGTGGACGTCAGTGCAGAATAAGTGAGTGAACTTAACAGATACCTCTTCCTGTCTGGTAGGGTTAAGCAAGCCCTACATGGGGAGCTAATAAAGGAGAAGTTACTGTTCAAGTTCAAACCCCCACACACACCCACAGCACCACTCTGGATTTCCATGAAGGACCCTTACAAAACCCAATTACCTTTTCCCAAACCTCTGCATCCCACTTAGACCATTCCCTGCAGCTCAGGTTCCTTCTCCAGCACAGGATACTCTCCCATCATCTGAAATGTGTGGCTCAAGGAAGAGACCCGAACACCATCTGAAACAGCACCCAGGGACATCCCCTCAGGGAATTACTGCACTAGATTGAGCTGCTCTAACCTCCCTGCATGGAAAATGAAAGACCCTAACAAACTGGCCTCCCACAACTGCAGATTATGCCTTCCCTGACAATAAAAGCACACTTTCACCCTAAGACACACTGTGGATGTTTGACAGCCGCTCGTAAAAGCAGTGGAATAAGGCACTGAAACCTCACCACGGACTAAATTAGTGAGGGCAGCTACAGACAAGAGTGTATAACTCTAACTTCACGTAGTTACCATGCAATAAAGACTAGAAGGATAGCACCTCTGCTTAGTATTTTCAAACAAACTGACTGGTTATTTCCTATTTAAGACATCACGTGCCTTTAAAGATTATAGCCTGTTCACAAACTGACAAGCGTCTTTCTGAACATGTTGTTTTCCAAGGACAGGGATAACTTTGGACACAGAGACCATTTTTTCCAACATCCAGGTTGCGTGCAGACGTATGGCATTTTGGCACTTCCCACAAGCACTTTAAGTTTAAACCTGGCATTTTAGGGCCCAGAGCTCCAGCCACCCCCTTGGATTTTGATATGATGGGTGTTGCACAGAGATCAGTTGTGTGGTGAAATCAGGCTCAGTTTCGCTGCACCCAGAGCTCTAATCCAGACTCCTCCTCGCCCTGCCCTCCCGAAGACACCGGCTGAGTCAGAGACCCCGCAGGACTGTCATTACAGGCTGCAAACCTACTGCTTAGATTTACTTTTCTAGTGAAATAAAAGCCCTCACTATACGCCTGACACATACAGCAATTTAAAAGAGCCCACTTTACTGCTTGAACACTGAGCACATCCACTCATCGGGAAAAAGTAGCAAAAAAAAGTTTTTATTTGATTTCACAGACTAAAAACCGCGATGAAACAGAGAATTGCACAACACCTTTCACAGAGAGTGATCACAGACGCTGTTAAAAATGAGGTTTTAATGAGTCTATTAAAAAACTTGGTGCACATCACGAAGGCAGTGAGTTGCCCCTCCAAAGGGGAGGCAGTTGTGAACACACAGAGGTGACGTGACTGTGATTTCTCTCACAGACTATGGGGTAGAAGCAGAGAAGACACACAAGATACTCTGCTTGGGATCTGGCCAGCTCTAACACCCCGTTACTTCCCTATCCCAATGGGATGATTATATAGCCCCAAAGCTGTGCTTCCCCAACCTCGTAACAGAAAAAGAAAAGAAAGGCAGTCTACAATTCAGCCAAGATCAGAGCCAGAACTAAACAATGCTCCTAGACACAGGAACTCCCTACAAACAACCATGCAGTCAGTCTGGCTCCTAACACCTTCGGGTTTGTCCCTTGCTTGACAGCAACGCCACTGACCCAGACGGGAGCTTCAGGAGTGCCTCTTCCTCCCAACATGGCTCAAGGAGGCTTTATCTCCCTGCAATCCATCCTGTCCCCCAGCACCTCCCCGACTGCTCCCCATCCTCCCAGAAATCTTCTTCAACATCTCAGCATGGCTCCCAAAGCCTCTCTCAGCCTCGTGACCCTCTTCCCATCCTGGACCCTTCACAACCCTTCCCCACCTCCAAAGTCCCTAGCTCTCCATATCTCCCCATCCTATTCTACCCTCCATCTCCCTCCAGTACCACTCCCCCATCTTTCCCCCCACTCTTCCCTTTCTCCCCTCCAGTGCTCCCCCATATCCTTCCTACGCCCTCCAATATCCCTCCAGCCCTACTGCAGTCCCCACATAATCCTGCACCCACCCACAGCCTGATCCCCGTGTCCCCATTGCTCCCTGCCCCCCGGTGCAGCCCCCAGTCCTCCCTTGTCCCTCAGTCCCTCCAGCCCCCCCAGGACCTTCACTGACCCCCATTACCCCTCTCACCACCCTCAGGGCAGCCCCCAGCCTCACCACATTTCCCAGTGACCCCCAACTACCCTCAGCCCCCACCACAGAGCAGCCCCCAGCCCCCACGTCCCCCAATGACCCCTCATTACCCTCCCCCAGCCACCCCCCCACTCCAGTGACCCTCATCACCCCGCCACAGCGCAGACCCCGTTAACCCCTTCCAGTGCCTCCCCTTACCCTCCTCAAACCCCCCTCCCCCGCCAGTACCGCCTCCCCTCCCCCCTCCCCGGTACCCCCCTCCCAGGTCCTCCCCCGCCCCAGCGATCCCCGTGACCGCCCCCGTCGGTGCCCCACAGCCCCTCACCGTCGTAGTAGTAGCAGACTTTCCGCTTGGTCCCCTGCGTCAGCGCCATTTTCCTGCCTCCCCACAGCGACAGACCCTACCGCCACCCCGCGCAACGCAACCCAACCCAACCCAACCCAACCCGGCCCGGCCCGGCCCGCCCCGGGGCCCGGGCCCCACCGCCCCACCTGCCCCGCCCCCCCGCGCGGCCCCCAGCCTATCGGGGAGGGGCTCTCCGCCCCCTCCCGCCCGCCGACCAATAGAAAATCGCGGCGGCGGGAGAGAGCGGGCGCGGGGGAGCTAGCAGGCTAGGCGGAGCGGCGGGGTGTCTGGGTTGTACCACCACGGCTGCGGGGGGCGGGGCCGCTCGGGCTGCACCATCGCTGGGGCGCGCGAGGGGGAGGGGGGGGCAAACGAGGAGAAGGGTCCAGGTGGGCGGGGCGGAACCATTCGCGGAGGTGGGGGTGTGGGGGGGAAACGCCAGGTGGTGCTGAACCATCCCGGGGGCGGGGGGACACGGTGGAGACCTCCAGCAGCGCCCAGACCCCGGCTTGTCCCACCCGCGATGAGTGAGAGCGGGGTCGTGTCGGGGGTCACACAGCCGGGCTCGGTGTGAGAGGGGCCTCGGACCCCCCAGCAGCACCCCTGGGTGGGGTTGGTGTGAGCAGGGTCCATCCCCTGAGGGCATCACCCCGCTTGACCCATCAGCTTGACCCTCAGCGAGGCCCTGTGGCCGCCGCCGGTGCAAAAAGCCTTTATTCCCCCCCCAAAACGCGACGGCGAGAGCCTGCAAACACCATGGGGGGGGAGAAAGAGCACCCCACAGCCGGGGGCTGCGGCGGCCATTGCTTGTTGGGGGGTCCCGGCTGTCCCTGGGGGTGAAGGAGGAGGCGAGGCCCTGGCAGAGGAGGGTGAGGGGGCTGGCGCGGCCCCTGAGCAGCTTCGTGTGGGGCTGGCGGCTGGATTTGCACCCAGGGACAGCGTGGTGGGCACCCACTGGGCCCCACACAGCCCCCCCACACACACACACCCACCCCCCAGCCCTCCACTCTTTGGAGTCACTTGGCTTCGGCCATCCATCGCCTTCTGCGGGGGGGGAGGGTGAAATCCGCTGCTCCCAAAGATTTGAAGCGCTTCAGATCTTTACTGCTGAGGCTCAGGCAGCGTTCGCCAAGGCCCCGAGGCGATGTCTACGGAGTCTTGCGAGGAGCTGGGGCAAGGGGGGGAGCACCCCCAGGCACCCCAACGCAAGGGTGCCCCCAGCCGCTGCTGGGGTCCTCACGGCTGCTGCTGGTACTGGCCCTCGGTGGCGGTGAAGAAATCCTCCAGCACGCTCTTCATGTAGTCGAAGGTGGGACGTTCCTCGGGCCTCTCCTTCCAGCACTGCATCATCAGTTCGTACAGTTCCTGCGGGCAGTTGTCCGGCTGCGGCATGCGGTAACCGCGCTCCAGGTTCTGTATCACCTCGGGGTTGGTCATCCCTGCGAGGACAACACACACAGCCCTGAGTTTGGGTCAAACCACCCCCCCACACACATGTCGCAGGCAGCACTGCAACATATAGTTGCAAATATACATTTGTAAATCCGATGGGGAAAGCTTCCTTCCCCCTCCCCACCACCACCTCTGAAACCCCCGGGGGGGGTTTGGGGCCGTGGCTAGCCACGTGAAACCATCGAGGGCTGGCAGGGAAGGGAGCCAGATGGGGCGGCTGGGAGGGTGTGTGCGTGCGGGAGTGCATGCACACACTCGTGGGTGTGCGCTTGCGTGGTGCCTGCGTGTGTGCGAGCCCTTCTGCCACGCAGCTAGCAGGAAATCCTGACCTGGATACGGGATCCGGCCGTAGGTGACGATCTCCGTGAGCAGGATGCCGAACGACCAGACATCGGACTTGATCGTGAACGTCCCGTAATTAATAGCCTCCGGTGCCGTCCACTTAATGGGGAATTTAGCCCCTGAAAAACAGCAGGAAGGGAGAAAATAAAACGTTACAACTGAGCTGGAAATGTCCCTCTCTGTTTTACCTGATGTGACAGCCCCAAGTCAGCCTCTGCCCTTGCTGTATGCCTGGGGACGAGCTGGGTTTGGTGGCAGCCAGTCCCCCAGGGCCCCCCCCAGCTGCTTGGCTGGCTACAGAGCCCGGAGCGCGGGCTGGCACCCCTGCAGCGGGCCAGCGTGTCTGTTCCTGCAGTAGCCACCAGATAGGGCTGTCACCCCAGCAAAAGCAGGGATGGGTGGGTATGCAGGGTCCTGAGAGAGATGGAGGGGGGAGAAGAGAGATGGAGGGGGGGAGAAGAGAGATGGAGGGGGGAGAAGAGAGATGGAGGGGGGGGAGATGAGAGATGGAGGGGAAAGAGATGGAGGGGGGAGAAGGATCTCCGATCGCCTCTCATGGGGCTGCACCCCCTCCCGCAGCACCCAGGACACCGTGGGCACCCCTGGAAGAGGACAGGGTGGGTGGGGGTTTCCTTCTCCTGTGGTCCCAAGCTGTGTGCACCCCCAGAGCGGGGCTCGGTGGGGGGCACGCGAGGGGCTGGGGCGGTGGGGGACGCACCCTCGCGAGCCGTGTACTCGTTGTCCTCGATGAGACGGGCCAGCCCGAAGTCAGCGATTTTGCAGCACAAGGTGTCCGACACGAGGATGTTGGCGGCCCGCAGGTCGCGGTGGATGTAGTTCTTGGCCTCGATGAAGGCCATGCCTTCGGCAATCTGCGGTTCGGAGTAATTGCAATTAACAGCCGCCGGCCCCAGCAGGGCAGCCCCCAGCTCCAGCCCCGGCAGATCTCTCCCCACCAGCAGCTCCATCCTCCCCACTCACCTGTGCGGCCATGTCCAGCAGTTTGTTGATGCTGAGCTTGACTCCTTCCGAGGTCTTGAGGAAGTCCACGAGGCTCCCTGCAATGAAAGCAGCAGGTCTCAGCAGCAAGCAGGCACGCTGCCTTCCCCCCCACCCCCAACACACCCCACGGCATCTGTTGGGGCTGGGCGTCGTGGCAGTGGGGTCATCAAGGCACTGTCCCCCGCTGCAACGCCCAACATGGGGCTGGGTAGCTCACAGCCCCCCTGAAAAGCGGGCAGGAGCGAGTGGGCAGGAGACCACCCTGCCTGCAAGATCCTTCATCCCCCTGCCAGCGCTGACCCTCGAGCTCCCCACCAGTGGGAGAGCCACGATGCGAAGGCAGAGCGTGGGGAGGCAAAGGATGCTAAAAGCAGCTCAAAAAAAGCAAAACCCAGCCCTGACCGCTGGATGGGAACAGCCAAGAACCAAAGGACCGTGGGTCTTCGCAGCCCCCCTGGCCCCCCCCCACCCATGGTGAGCAGCACCCACGTGCCCTCACCCTTCTCCATGTACTCCGTGATGATGTAGATGGGCTCCTTCGTCACCACGGCGTAGAGCCGCACCAGCCGCGGGTGCTGCAGGTTCTTCATGAGGTTGGCCTCTGCCAGGAAGGCGCTGGGCGACATGCTGCCCTGCTTCAGGTTTTTGATGGCCACCTTAGTGTGGCCGTTGTAGAAGCCTGCGGAGAGATGGGGGGAGAAGGGACCCCATCACCGGGCACAGCTGGGGGACGCGTGGCAATAGCGGTGCCAGCCGAGGGGGCAAGCGTGGGGGCTACTCCGTGGATCTAGAGCATCCCAACCCAAAACTGCGCGAGCAAGAGATGTTGGAGGTTGAGGAGATTGGCTGAAGATGGGCAGAGTACTCTCACACCCTGGAGGACAGTTGCAGTGGAGCCAGAGGCGTTTTGGGGGCTACCACAGCTCTGTGCTGGCCACCTCTTGGGCAAAAAGCTGTAACCGCATTTTAACACCTAAGGCAGATATTTTTACCTGTGGCTTTCAGCCACCAGAAGGAGAGCAAACTGTAGGTTTCTGGGCTTTGAACAGGAGGGGCGGCTGGGGGAGCGATGCCAAAGCCTGGCTCCTGCTGGATACCCAGAGGGGACTTTGTGGGACAGCTGGCACCCGTGGGAGCGAAGGCAGGGACATGTGGGGTGGCACGGAGAGGAGCAGGGCAGCCCCAGTTCCTTCCCCACCGTGGCACCCGGGGAGCAGGAGGTGCTTTTGTGACTGGGTCGCAGCACGCTCGAGGGCCCGCGCTGACTCCGAGCCCCCAGCTGCTCCCAGTTCTCAGCGACAGCCCCACTAAGGGCCGTTTCCCATGTGGGGCCACACACAGTGCTCACAGGCCCCATGCCAAAGCCGGCGGTTGCTCTCACGGTGAGCAGAGCCCAGCTCGACAGGGACATGGTGCAGCCCCCGTGCATGCACACCGGCACCAGCAGACCCATCCTGGCGACAGTGCAGGGGTCTGGGTGGCCAGGGGTGGGAGAAAGGGGAAGCTTGGGCTGCTCTGGATAAACCAGAGCTGCTTCTTGGGCTGCTCTAGCTGCTGATTTTCTCCCTTTTCAGGGTCCTTGTAAAAAGCTGAGGTCCCACGTTTGAGGCTGTGCTGGCTGCTCCATGCGAGACCCCAGGGAAGGACACGGCGGGGCCCGGGTGACGCTGCCTACACCAGTGCCTCATCCAGGAGGAAGCTCCCCAGTTTCACCCTGACTCACCCATCCAGACTTCTCCAAACTGCCCAGCTCCCAGCTTCTCCACCAGCTTCAGCGACTCCCGTGGCACCTCCCACTCATCCTGCCACCACGGCTTCTGCGGTTTCTGGGTCCGGCAGGGCTTGCCGAGGCGGGTGCACAGCCCGTCAGAGCTGCCTGTGGCGTGGGGGGAGACAGAACCAGTGTCAGCCCAGGCAGAGGGCACAGAGCACCCAGCACAAGCTAATAACTTCGCTGGGGGCACGGGCAGCAGCGTGTCCTGCTCATCCCATCCCATCCCCATCCCATCCCCATCCTGTCCCATCCCATCCCCATCCCACAGGCCCCTGGACCCCTCATTCCCCCCCAGCCCCTGGACGGTGCGTACGTGTGTAATACTCCACCAGCTCGTGCAAGCTACTGAAGGTGACGCGGGGGGAGATGTAGTACCCCCCGTTGTCCATGTTGCGGATCTTGTAGTGCTTCACCGTCTCACCCTGGTTCTGGTCAAAGTCCCTCACCGACAGCGAGTAGGAGCCTGGGGAGACGGGGCATCGTGTGGGTGCAGGACCCCAAGACCCCTCACATGCTTCCCAGTGCCTGTGGCAGGAGACGCCAGCGGGACCTGCGGGACGGTACCTTTGGAGGTCTCGCTCTCCCGGATAAGGAAGGAGCCGTGCGTGTTGCCCGACGCCAGGAGCTGCCGCTCCGCATCCTTGCGGCTGATGTTTTTGAAGAACCACCTGGGGACACAGGGCAGGGTTAGGGCTGGGGGGGCTCAGGCCACCTTCGCCCACCAGCACTTTGAGGGGATGCTCCTGGCTCCTTCCCCTTCTTCCAGCACAGCTCCTGCCGGTGCACGGCTCCTACGCAACCCCTACTCACGGTTCAGGCTCCAGGCTGTTCACCATGGCCACGAAGTTGTAAGGGATCAAACCCTCCTGGCCAGTGGTGAGCGACTGCGCCTTCCACCACTCCCCGCTCCTGCAAGGACACAGCAAGGTGAGACGCTTCTCGGCTGCCAGGACCCCGCACGGACCCCCCTGGCAGCACCGGGATGCCGGCCGGGGAGCTGCGGGGTGATGCCAACGCGGGTGCTGGGATGTCATCGGCGTTCGCTCACTCTTCCAGGATGCGAAGCTTCTCGCCCTTCTGCAGCCCCAGGTCCCCGTCATGCTTGGGCTCGTAGTTGTACAGGGCCACCACCAGCTTATCTGGGAGGACAAGCGGAGGGGCAGGGTGGTGGCAGCCAACCGGGGGGATGTCCACAGCAGCCCCCTGCCATGGCTGGACCTTACCTTGTAGGGGGGAGCACGGCGGAGACGTGGCCTCGTAGGACACCAGGGGATCTTGCACCTCGGAGCCGCTGCGGATCAGCCTCTGCAAGAGGATGAGGAGCCCCGTAAGCCTTCGCCTTCCCGGGGTTTGGCCCTGCCACGGCCACCTCCGGAGGTGTACGGCCACCAGCACGGGGGGTCCGCACACCCCCCTCCTCACCTGGCGCTTGCTGGTGGGCTCGATGGGGTAGTTGCAGTGCTCACAAATGTCGATGTTCTCGATCCAGTCCTCGTCGTAGTCCGAGCTGCAGCAGCAGCCCATGGTGGCTGCAGGGGGGGGTGAGAGGTGGTGGGGGAAGCCTTCGCACCCCTGGCCCCAGCCTTACCCCTCCTCCCGCTCCAGCGCATCCCCATCCCTGTGTCCGTCAGTCTGGCTTCCCACATCGCATGGCCCATCCTGTACACTCCCCAGGTCCTCAGCTGAACCGGGGGCATCCCCTGACTCTCTGTCACCAGCCATATTTCCTCCTAATTTTGTTCTGGCTTTGTTAATTAAAAACACTGAAGGCAATTAGTCCCCAGCCTGAGGCTCCCCTTTCCCACCAGCACAGCCTGACGTTGCCTCCTTCACCAGCTCCTTCCCACCCTGCAGCCCTCGGGCTGATCCCTGTGTTCTCCATCTAGAATAACCATCTAATCATGAATATCCCATTAACAATTAATACGTCCTTGCATGGCCCTGCAGTGTGAGGTTTGGCTGCACCAGGCACCTCCCCGGCCCTAAAAGCTGCCCCTGGGGTTCAGAGGTGGATGTGAGCACTCCCTCCCCCACACTGCATCACCTCTGATTTCCTTCTCCCCCGAGGCTCTCATTAGCCTCCCCCCACGACCCCGTCGGTGTGCTCCTGTTTCTCTTGCATGGGGGGGTTGTCCTTCAAACCCCCATCCTTCCTCGGGGGACCCCTCATCTTCAGCATCTCACCCTGAGACGTCAAGAACCCCCCGACCTCAAGCACCAGTCACGGTGACACCAAGCCGGCGTGGGGCAGTCCCCAGCACCGCGGCGTGGGCGCCAGGGCAGCCTGGCAGCGATGCCACGAGCATGGCGTGGGCTCTGCAAACCACCCAGGCCTTCCCATGAAAGCTGAGCGTGGCACAAAGCCCGGAACCCCGGCAGTGCATCATGTGGAAATGGCGGCCCACTGCCTTGGAAAAAACTCTTCTGCAGAATCCCCCACGCCTACACCGCTGGGATTTAGCTCCACCAAGACCTGGCCCCCAAACCTTCTTCCCCAGGCTCTGCCCAGCAGCTTTGGGGGCTCCTTGGGGGCCCCGGCGTGGTTTCCGCAGCCACGGGTGCCAACGGCAGGGCTGGGAGCCCCGCGCCGCTGAGAGCCAGCCCAGGTGTCTCTGTCCCCAGCACCCAAAATCAGCGACCGCTTTTGCAAACGCCGAGTGGGAGCTCTTATCTGGCAGCAAGGCGCTGCAGCTGCGAGGGTCCCCGTCCTCAGTATGCCGGCTGAGCCCCGGGAGCTGCTTTGCTGGGAGCTGCTGGCCGATGGCACTGCCAGCACTGTTTTCTCCTTGGTTTCCTACTGGGAGCCATTGCACGGCTGTGTTTTCGCAAGCGCACACTTAAATCCACCTCTCTCCGTGCTGCCAAGGAGGGCAACAGCAGTGGGGGGTTCACTGGAGTGCGTGTCCCCATGGGCAGCTGGGGACTTGGGGAAGAGCCTCGCAGGGGGTCTCCAGGGAGGGTGCAGGGTCCCCGGGGTGCCACCAGCCCCCACCATCAGATCCTGACGGCCGGAACCCCCCCAGCCTGCGCTGTCAGGGCTGGTTTTGAAGTCCAGGATCCCCCCTCCCTTGGGATGGGGTCAGCATGGCTGTTTTGGTACCCACGGCAAGGACACGGGGGCCATCCCCACGGTGCTGTCTCGGGGTGCCCACAGCCACGGCGGCCGGTGGGAGCAGATGATGATGGGCAATTCTGGGGAGGAGAGGGCAGACAAGCGAACCCCCACCACGCCGTGCCTTGCTGCTTTGGGAACTCAAATGCTAAAAAAAAAAAAACAAACTGGCACCTTCAGCTTCTGGTGACACCTATTTGGGAACACAATTTGGCACCCGAAAAGGGCTTCGGCCACACCTCAGGAACAGACAAGGCTCCAGCGATGCTCAGGCAGCAGAAAAGCTGATACCCAGCCCCAAGCACAACCCCGGCCCCGTGCAGGAGAAGCCCCCGCTCTCCCAGACCTGCCTGCAACCCTTCAAATGCCTTTACCAAAGGCGAACGGTGCCAGGAGGTGTTTTTTCCTTCCTGCACAAAGTCAGGGTGGGGAGGGAGGTGCTGCTATTGTGCCTTTTTTTCTTATGTACTCAAGCCACAGCGTAATTTCCACCAAGCAGCCGTTTCACCTGCACAGCGCGAGGGCCACGCCGGTGAATCGGGGCGTTTGAAGTCAGGTTTTGTGACTGCATCTGTGCAACCGAATTTCTCGTGCGAAGGCTGCCTGGGAGGGATGTGTAGGCGCCTCTGCCCCATGCCTTCGCCATGTCCCCAGGGAGGTGTCTGCGTGTGTGCATGGATGTGCACGCGCGTCCTTGCACATCCATGTATGTGTTTCTCCTTGACTTTGCTCAGGAGCGTGTCTGGACCCCCCCCCCCAGCTCTTGCCAGAGGAGCTGCCCCGTGCCGGCCCTTCCGCACACGCTTCTTTGGCCAGGTCCGGTTGGATTGTTCACAGGCGCGGGCGGGCGTGAGGAAGGCTGAAGGCTGGGCTGACCCCATCCCTGATGATCTTCGAGGCTCACTGGGGTGTCCCCAATATCCCCGAGCCAGCTGTGACCCAGCTAGACGTTCGGCCCTGCACTCGCACAGTCTCGCAGAGACGTGAAGGACGATGTCCCCAAAACTGCCATCACAGTGGGGAGGTGTTTGCACTGAGACAGCACCAAAGCCAGGCATATCTCAGTGTCTGAACCCCCCCAAACTGGGCAGTGGACCCCAATAGGCTGGAACTAAGCTGTTGTCTGTCCCTAAGCTTCTCTTGCTCACAGCTGGGTGGGCAAGAGCCTGGTCCTGGGGACAAAACTTCCACTTTGCCCTGGAAATGGGGGCTTGGGAAGAGCCCTGCGAGGGGGTCGGTGCTCCCACCCTGGGCAGGCCCCCCAGGCAGGCAGAGGGCATCAGGACAGCGGCTTTCACCCCAACTGGGAGGCCGCAGAGGAATGGGGAGCACAGCCCTGCTCCCCCCATCCCTCACCCAGACACCAGCACTCACGTCCCTCGGCAGCGACGAGCCCAAACCCCCATTTCCATCCCTCTGAGGGGCAACCTCAAAGAGTGCAACGGGACCCCCCCACACACCCTCCGCAGGCACCCGGGTGGTCCCCAGCTCCCATCTGGAGGGCGCAAACCCTCTCTCACCCCCCAGGCCCCCGTTACCTGTTGGCAGCGAGGCGAGGACCAGCGGCTCTCAGACTCCCATGGCCCGGCAGCAAGAGTGAAGGTGCCGTCCCCGCTCACGTCCTCTCCATCCCCGGCAGGAGAGCGGCGACCCTTTGGGGAGCAGAGCCGAGCCCCCCGCATGCGGGCGCGCGCTCCCCACCGCCTGCTCTTGCTCACCTCCTGCCCTGGTTTCCTGCCTCATGAGCAAACTCTAGAGAAGCTGGTTCACAGCTCGCGCACAACCGCAAGAGCTAGTGACAAACCCCGATGGCTTCCTGCCATGCCCGGCACGGAGGGTCCCTGCTCTGCATGTCCCCAGCTACCGAGCCCCAGGGACTGGGTGGACAAGGGGGTGCTGAGCCCCTCAGTCAGTGGGGGAGCAGGGTCCCGTGGGCTGGGAGATGTGCAGCGAGGGGCCAGCGATGAGCAGGGGATTGTCACCCACTGCCCGGGCAGTCCTGGCTAGCTGAGCCCCCCAGTCCCCTGTGCTGTCCCCCCTCCAGGCAGGCTGATGGTGCCGTGCACCAGCTGCCCCTGACCCCGTCAGACCCCGCACAGGTTGCAGGACTCATCCTGCACCCCACACCCCCCACTTTGACCATCATTACCAGGTCACCCCAGACCCTGGAGCCCCGAGAGCCACGGTGATGGGGGCTGAAGCCAAGGGGAGACGCACTGTGCCCCAGCCAGGCTGCCAGCCCTGTGTTTTTAGAGACAGCTCAGAGCAGAGCAACCACAACACTATTGTCTTGGCTTTTACGATCAAACATGAAGCCACAGGTACCTGCCGGCTGCTCTGCGGAGGCACGGGCAGGAAGCCCATCTGTGTCGGGGAGGGGGGGGGCCTGCAGCAGCTTGAGGGGCACCGCAGAGGCAGCACCAGACACAGCATCCACCCTGGCAAGGATATTTCCCAGGGGAAGCCACGCAGCCCCCTTCTCATTGTGCTTGCCAACGCCGGGGGTGCCCCAGGGAAGGGGCGGTGGGGAGCACTGCCAGGCTCCGGGGCGTGCCGCAGCCTCAGGGTGCACATTGGGCTCTCCCCGTGTCCTGCTGCTACCCAGGGAAGGAGAAGCAGCCCCCAAAATTATCCCTGGGTCATCCCATAGCTTCCTTGGCAGTGCTTGCAAAAAAGTTCTGTGAAAAATCACGTCCTCAAGCGGCAACTTCTTTTGTAAAAAGGGTTTGGTGTTAATAGAGGAAGGGAAAAAGCCAAAAGCAAACCCCTCTAGTAAGGACAACGTTGCCAGCCCCGGCTGGCACTAACCCAAGGATCCCTCCTGCTCTCAGCACAGCGCTACTGGGGGTCGAAGATGGGGCAGGATGGGGGCGTGGGGGCTGCCAAACCCCAAGCACGGCCCCCAGCACCTCCTGGCCTCAAGCCTCAAAAACAACCCCCCCCCCCATTCACAGCTGGTTTGGTGAAGAGTGTTTTCATGCAGCGCTCCAGCCCCAGCACCCACTCGCTTCCAGGGGCATTCAGGGAGACGCTGGCAACCAGGTCCCCGAAGCAGAGACACTGTCTCTCTGGCACGGCACTGTCCCACTGTCCTGCAGCTGAAACTGGTGAGAAGCCACCCACCCTGTGAGCCAGATCCCTGGGGAGTGGCTGGGGAAGGGGTGATGGCAATGCAGTCCCCCTTGCCACCCCCATGTCCCCCACAACGAAGGGCCAGGAGCCACATCTGGAGGTTCAGGCAGGTGCCTGGGTGCATGCAAAAACAGGAAAAAAAAAAAAAAAAAAACAAACCAAACAAAAATCAAAAACGCAACACATCAGCTCTTGTCTTCACCTCCTTTTTTTCCTCCTCAAATGGCTGCTGCCACATTTTCCACTGTGGTTGTCCCCACTGTTCTGAGGCACAGGGCACGGGGTGCCCCAAAACACTCTGTGCCTGATGGAGTCAGTGGCATTTCCCATGCCACCATGGCGTGGCATTGTCCCCCGGGGTAGGGCTGGCAGCACCAGGGCTCAGCCCCGCGCCCCGCGCCCCCGCCCCCCGGCAGCAGCTCCGCAGTCCCCGAGGCATTTTAGGAGGGATGCTGGAGCCCTACCAGGTCTGGATGCACCCGTGGGTGCTGGCGAGGCTCCAGTCCAGGCTGGGTGCCCATCGCTCTGCGGGGTCCTGCCGTGCTCAGCAGAGGGAGAACCGTCGGGAGTTGATGTTCATGCGAGTGACGCCGATGTGCTTGAGCGGCGTGGAGAGCAGGAAGGCGGCCTTGGGTGGGATGTTGCAGAGCAGGTCCGAGTCTTCCTCGCAGCCCTCGAGGCCGAAGGTAGCGTCGTCCAGCATCTCCTTGTGCTGGTGGCAGGCCTGCTCCACCTTCAGCCGGTGCAGCTGCGCCCGCAGGCGCATCAGCTGCTGCGCCAGGCGCTGGTCTGCAGCCTGCATCTCCCGCTGCACGGGGAGACGGGCATCAGGGCTGGAGCGGGAATTGGCCACCGGTTTGGCTACCTGGGCACTGGGAATGCTGGGTGGCCCAGCTGGGGCCCGGCCAGGGCGCAAACCCACTGGGGACCACGTGCACACGTGGCCCTGGGGTGAGCACAGAGCCCACGCGCCCAGTCCCGGGGTCTGCACAAGGTCTGTGCTGGGGTCACAGCCCAGGGTCAGCTCAGGTGCTCGTGGCGGGGTTGTTGCTGTCCGTGCCCCCCCCCCCGTGAAAGCCACCACGGCTGTGCCACCCCAGTGCAGCCCACTGCAGCCGTGCCACCCGCAGAGCAGGCAGGAGGGGGTGACAAGCACAGACCCTGGCAGAGAAGTGACCCCCGTTGCTGCACAGGGGACAGGGGCAGAGCTGCGGCACCGCAGAGCCACGCACGCCTTGCAAAAAAAATAAAAAAATCTACATACACCGTGGCATGCTGGGCAAAGGAGCAAAGCATTGCACTGCAGCTGGAGCACCCTGACCCTGGGACATCCCATCGCTGCTGCGTGAGGTCGGGCTGCAAAGCACTCGCCCTGTCCGGAGGAGCCCCACGGCCCCATCCCCGCCTTGGGGCTCAGCCCTTGTGCCCCCCCCCCCCCCCCATCCCACCAACCGCTACTCACCAGCTCCATCCTAAGCCACTCCAGAGCTGCCTCCATGGTGGCGAAGCCACAGACGCCACCGTCCCACTCCTCCTCATCCTCCCGGTGCCCAGGGCCCTGCTCTGCCCCTTGGCCCCCCCCGGGGGTCCGACTGCACCAGGGCTGCCCCCGTAGTCGGGCTTCCCACTCCAGGTAGGAAGGTCTCCGTGTCTGCAGCTTCAGCTTGGCCGTCAGCGCCTTCACGCTGGCCAGGCTCACCTCCTCCCAGGTGGGCTCCTCTTCACCCAGCTCCTTGAACTTCAACTCACCCAAAGGCATGGTTGGCTGGATCCCCCCCAAACCCCTTGGGTAACCTCTCCCCCCTCCCCTAAAACACACACACCCCCCCTGCAAACAGAACCGCTGCACCCACAAGATAAACAGCACCCTACCCACAACCCCCACCCACTCCCCACAGCTGCACCCGAGTCCCAGCTATTTATTCACCCCCCAGAACAATAAAGGTTGGGGACGCTGAGGACAATTCCAGCGGGCAGGAAATTTCCTTATCCAGAAGAGTGCAAAGGAGGGGTTTTTTTGGTTTTGTTCGGTGACTATTTTGTTGTTTTGTTCTTTGATATTTTTTTTTTCCTTTTCTTTTCTTTTTTAGCATTATTGTCTCCAGCTGGGAGGAGACTCCCAGTTCCGCGGGAGGAAGCCTTCACTGGGACTTACTGGCAAGGAGAGGCGGGGATGATTTATCCCCGGGCGCAGCCGCCGTCACCCACACACGGCCGGGGTCGGGGAGGGCAAAAAAAAAAAAAAAAAAAAAAAGCCCAAGGAAGGAAAAAGAACCGGGGGGGCTGCGGGGGGGGACACGGGGCGAGGAGCCGGGGGGCAGCCGGGGTCCCGCATCCCGGCCGGGCCGTTAAGGTGGAACCGGGTCAGGATCCGGCCGCTTCCCCCCCCCGCAACCCCCGGCTGTGGGTTGCGGTTCTCGCCTGCACCCCACGGATAACGCCTGCCCCGGGCACGGCCACCCCCCGTCCCGTCCGGCCCTCCCCCCCCCACCTCCCCACTCCCCCCGGAATCGTCCCCAAAGACCCTGCGTGCAGCGCTGCGAGCTCGGTGTCCATTCGCGTGTCCCTCCCCACGAGTTCATGCGTGTCCCCCTCGCTCTCGCACCCCACGCCGTGCCCCCCCCCCCCACACACACCCCCCCACACCCCGGGAATCCCCGCACCCCGGGGTGCGGAGCGCCGGGCCCGCCGGCGGAGCCGCCCCGGGGCCGGGCCACCTTAAACCCGACATCCGCCGGGCGCGGAGCCCTGCGCGGAGCCGCCGTCCCCGCCGGCATGGCCCGGCTCCGCAGGGCATCGCCCGCCCTCCTCCTTGCACCCCAACCTCCCCCCTCTTGCGCCCTGAGCTGCCCCGCTTGCACCCCTGGGTCCCTGCTTGCACCCCGCGATCCCCCCGCTTGTGCCCAACGGTTCCCTGTTTGCACCCCCAGGATCCCTGGTGCACCCCGCCGTCTCCCACTTGCACCCTGAGATTCTTGCTTGCGCCCCGAGGTCCCCTGCTTGCACCCCGAGATCCCTGCTCATGCGCTGAGGTCCCTTGCTTATACCCAACAGTTCCGCGCTTGCACCCCGAGATCCCCACTTGCACCCCAAGACCCCCACTTGCACCCCGAGGTCCCCACCTGCCACCGAGCCCGAGCAGGTAAGCACAGGGGCGGCCAGAGCAGTCAGCGCTGCCCGCTGCTCACCCTCCTCCTCCTCACCCAGGGCACTTGGCAGCAGCTGCTGCTCCATCCCCGGGGCCCCGGGGGTGGCTGTGGGTGCAGGCAGAGCGCGTGGGGCCGTGGGAGTTGGGGTGAGGCCGGTGCTGGGGGTCTGGCAGCGGTCGATGCAGCCCCACCGCAGGCGGGAAAGGACCCAGAGCAAGGCAGCAGTTGCGTTTTCACCAGCCACCCAAACCGCCCCCCCTCTCCCCGCAGCACCGGGCGCGGGGTCCCTGGCTTGGGGTCTGGGTGCTGCTGCCGCAGAGCCTGGAGCTGGCTCAGCCCACCGTGCCTCAGTTTCCCCATCTGCAGTGACAGCATTGCCGGAGGAGGAAATGTCACACTCCCCTGCATTTTGCAGCGAGGAAGCTCCATATGCTATAGGTGACAATGTAAACATGAAGAGGGGGGGTGAGGCTATAGGGCCCAGCGTGACGCAGAGGGAAGACAGGGTTTCCAGGCTGGGCCGTGCCGCTGCAGGATTTCCCCTTTCTCCCTCCAGCCCCGCGGCAGGTCCCTGCTCAGGCTGCGCCGGGGCTCAGCGGCTGCCGCCCCCGCCATGGAGTTCTCTGAGCTGATCAAAACGGCGACGGTGGAGAGCGTGCTGCTGTCGTGCGCGGGGCTGCCGGCGGTGAAGGGCACCCTGTGCATCACCAGCCACCATCTGCTCCTCTCCTCCTGCCCCGGGGGGGACGGCCAGCCCGGCACCGTGGAGCTCTGGCTGCTCATCCGCAACGTGGACGCCGTGGAGAAGAGGTGGGTCGCTCTCCCCCACGGCCGGCCCCGCTCTCCCTTTTAGCAGCGTCACCCCTACCTTAGCTGGAGGAGGTTCCCCGCTGCTCTCCCGGCGCCCACGGCTGCCCCACGGAGCCTTGTCCCTCCTCTTCCCCACGGTCTGCCCCGGGGGATGCTCGCAGCGCCGAGCATTGACCTCTTCTTCTCCTCTGTGCCTCAGAGTGCAGAATTTAGGCTGGTACCAGCCCCCCCGGACTAACGGCTCCCCACGAGACACCAGGTTTGGCTTTTAACGCTCTCTCGGCCCTGCTAACCCGCCCGGCTTTGTGCTAACCACGGCGGCGGTGGAAATCCCGGCTTCAAACAGGCGCTGCACCAGTGCCAGATGATAGCCAGCGATTCGGCACCCCCACCGGCACAGCCCTCCCGCTTTGCCCCGCTCGGCTCTCCCCGCGGGGAGAGGGCAGCTCAGCACTGCTGTGTGTCTGTCTGTCTGTCTGTCTGTCTGCGTGCACGGACCTACAGCCAGCCCTGACCCTCCTCCTGCCTCCCCCAGGCTCGCCAGCTCCTCTGGCACAATTACGCTCCGGTGCAAAGACCTGAAGGTGCTGCAGCTGGAGATCCCGGGCATGGAGGAGTGTCTCAACATCGCCAGCTCCATCGAGGTGAGCTCCCGGGCAGCCAGAGAGCCTGGCCCGGGCTGCAAAGGTTGGCAGGAGAAAGCGCCCGCCTGTAGTGTTTGCTTTTGGGCTGTCATTAACATGGGTAAACACTCAGCTCCGGGACAGCGTTGGCACAGGGTGCCCGCGGGGCTGGTGGTGCCAGCGCCTGCCTGCCCAGCCCTCGCTTGCGGCTGGGACAAGGCCAGGAGTGGGGGACAGGGATGGGATTTGCCCGGGGGGATGCGGTGGGGGCTCAGGTCCGCACCCCCAGCCCGTGACCAGCTCCACCTTTGCTCCTGCTCCAGGCCCTCTCCTCGGTGGACTCCGTGATGATGATGTACCCGTTCTTCTACAGACCCCAGAGCCTGAAGCTCGAGGAAGGATGGCACCTTTTCCCCCTCGAACAGTACTTCCAACAGATCGCCTCGCAGGTGAGCCTGGAAGGGAGATGCCTGGCTGGGCCGGGAGCAGGGAGGGGGAAGCACCCAAGGCAGCCCCCCCACGCCGCGTCTCCCCCAGACGAGCCGGTGGCGGCTGAGCGACGTGAACCGGGATTTCACCACCTGCCCCACGTACCCTCCTGCCGTCATCGTGCCGGCGGCGGTGGACGATGACGCCCTGCGGAAGGCTGCCCGTTTCCGGCAGGGCGGGCGATTTCCCATCCTCAGCTATTACCACCCCAAGAACGGCACCGTGAGTCCAGCTCCCCGTCCTGCCCCTCGTCCCCTCGCTGCCAGCCCTTGGGTGAAGGTAGCTTGAAGGCCCCCACCACCACCACTGCCATGCTGTTGGGGTTCCCCCTGTGCCCCCCCGCCCCTCACCCCGCAGGCGATGCTCCGCAGCAGCCAGCCGCTGACGGGCCCCAACCGAAAGCGCTGCCGCGAGGACGAGATGCTGCTGGGGACCGTCCTGAACGAGGGGGAACGGGGCTTCATCATCGACACGCGGTCGGCCCAGGCGGCGAAGCAGGCTCGGATGACCGGGGGGGGCACAGAGCCCAAATCCTCCTACCCGCACTGGAGGAGGCTGCACCGGCCTCTGGAGAGGTGAGGGGCTGGGCTGAGGCCTGGTGCTCTCACGGCACTGGTGTGGAGATTCCAGCCTCCCCTAAAAAACGACTCACCAAGCTCCTGCTACCACTTTCCCCCCCTCCCAGAGGCCGCCCGCTGCAGGAGAGCTTTATTAAGCTGGTAGAAGCCTGTAACGACCCCTCGATCAACATGGACCGCTGGCTGAGCCGGCTGGAGAGCTGCCGCTGGCTGAGCCACGTCAAAGCAGCCCTGAGCACAGCCTGCCTGGCCGCACAGTGCCTGGACAGGTAAGTGGGGGGGGGGCTGCTGCCCTGCTTTCCCCCGCCTCTCCTTTACAAAGTTCTCTGCGTGGCACAAACCTCGGGCATCAACCCCGGGCTCGCGGGCACAGGCGGCATCGCTCCGACCGCCCGCGCTTGCCCGCAGGGAGGAGGCCAGCGTGCTGGTGCACGGGGCGGAGGGGACGGACACGACCCTGTTGGTGACAGCGCTGGCCCAGGTGATCTTGGACCCGTCCTGCCGCACGCTGGTGGGATTCCAGGGGCTGCTGGAGCGGGAGTGGATCGAGGTGAGACCAGCAGTCCCCATGGGGCCGGAGACCCCAGCCTGGCTGGGTACCCCCCCACTCCCCTTCACCCCCGTTTTCCCCCCTGGGGGGTCCCACAGGCCGGCCACCCCTTCCACCTCCGCTGTGCCCGCTCTGCCTACTCCCACGCCCGGCTGAAGCAGGAGGCACCACTCTTCCTCCTCTTCCTCGACTGCGTGTGGCAGCTGAGCCGCCAGTTCCCCTTCTCCCTGGAGTTCAGCGAGCGCCTCCTCCTCATCCTCTTTGACAACGCCTACGCCTCTGCCTACGGCACCTTCCTCTGCAACAACGAGAAGGAGAGGCGAGTGGGGAGGGAGGGAGGGCTGCCCCTGCCTTCCCGCTGCTGGATAGGGCAGAGCCAAAGTCCTCCTGGGCCCAGCTTGGGTCAAACACGGCCCCACAATCCCCAGCAGGGACTGAACTGCATCTCAACTCTCCCGTAGGTGCTTGTGTAAAGTAAAGGAGAGCACGCATTCCCTCTGGGCCTGGCTGAACCAGCCTGCAGAGAAAAAGAAGTACCTGAACCCTCTCTACTCGCCCAACGCCCTGGTCATCTGGCCCTCCGTCGAGCCCCAGAGCATCCAGCTCTGGCAGGGTAAGCCAAGTCCAGTGCTCTTCAAGCCCAGCTTCAGCTCCGGGCTGGGCTGCGTGAGGGAAAGCTGCTCTGCTTTTCCCTCTCTCAGCAGGGCTACAGCATGGTTGAAATAACACACAGCCCCTCTCCTCCCCTAGGTTTATTCTTCCGATGGATCCGCTCGTCCCAGTACCTGGACGAGGCCTGGGCAGAGATCCAGCGGTTAGTAGAGAGTGACAACCCCCCCCGTCAAGGCCAGCGCAGGGAACAGGCTGAGCCAGTCCCTCTCTGACCCCGCTGCCCAGCCCGAGAATGAAAGATGAACAGCAGCGTGGGCGATTCGGTCCCCGCGGGCTGCGGGGCCGAGGCAACGCTGCAGCTTTTGGTGGGAAGCGCTGTGCGGGACACAGGCTTCGCGGAGCCTGGAGGACGGCTCTGGGATGGGGGGGGACAGACTCCCTTACGCAGCCTCCGGGCTGGGCAGACTGAGCTTCTTTCAGTAAAGTGCTCTCTCTCGCAGCCCACGCCTGCTTTTCCGCTCTTACATGGGGGCAGGAGCAGCCCGGCTCCCTCGCAAGCGGGGCTCCTTCCCGCTCTCCCACCTGGACCGCCGGCGGAGCAGAAGGGCAGCAGAGGGGGTCTATGTGCCCCCCAGCAGCTCCCACCACAGCCTGCCTGGCTCACAGCCCCTGCCCAGTCAGCACAGCAAAATCTAAGCAGCAGAGCACACTAAACCCTCTGCACTAAGGGCACGCTGGCTCCAGTCTGAGTGTTGCATCAGTCGCTTCGAGCTGGGAGCCAGCCCGGAAAATCTGCCCTTGAACCCAGTTTTGAGGAAGGAAAAAGATACAAACCACCCCTCCAGCCAGGCAGGCCCAGGGCGAGGGGGCTGGAAGGATGAGGATTTGCAACACAAGCGTCCTAGCGCAGGAAATAACTGTTCCATGAGGAAAGTTGGCTTGGGGTCAGTCCAACAAATAAACAAAGCACTAGAACTGGGCGCGTGCGTTGTCATCTGGAAAACAATGACTGGCTGCTGCACTTCCAGCCTGTTCACACTTCAGGGCCGGACCTGACCCAGAGTTGCAGCTCCTCCCTGGGAAAGGGTTAACCCGGGGTGGACAGAGGCCCCAGGAGTAACAGCGCTGCTGGCTGCCCACGGGTGGGGAGCACTGCACCGGGTGGGGAGCACTGCACCGCCAACAGAGCCGGGAAAGCAAATCGCTCAGGAGAATTGTTCCAGGCAAAAAGAAACAAAAAAAAAACAGAAACAAAAAAAACCCCAAACCAACCCAAAAACCAAACAACCACCCCACAGCAGCGCTTTTCCTTGTGTTTATAAAAGATTTCTATTTATTTCCTGATGATTTTTTTTTTTTCTCCTCTATGTATAAATACACCCAGCAGGGCAGGAAGCTAGCATCACCAGGGGCAGGCAGGCAGCCAACCCACCTCCCTCCCCTGCCTTCACCCTACCTCCCAGGAAAGCCAGTCCTGCCCTTTTGAGCCGGTTGGGTTTCTACTTCCCCACTGTCACAAAGCCCCTGAATTTGCTGCTAACTGCTTCCCACTGCCTCCTGCGGAGCAGACTAACTTCAGGCCTTACGACAGTTCTGTGCAGGAGCAGATGGACTGGGCAATGGGTTGGAGAAGGAAAGAGAAGAGGAGAAGAGAGGAAGTCCTCCTTTAAGCTTCAAATTCAAACTCAAAGTACTGGGGATCGAAGTAATGGATGCGAACGTAGCCGTCCTCACCCCCGCTGCTGTAACTGTAGGGGAGGAAAGACAAGATAAAGTCACCAATGTTGTCAGGAACTCACTGCCTCTAAGTTTATACTGAACAGTGGTGAAGTCTGTTCTCACAACCCCCTTCAGAAACCAATAAAGGAGTCACAAGACAAAAAAACAGTATCAGTGATGCAGCCGAAATGTGCAGCAGGGCATAAGTGAAGCCCCCGGCCAGCCTGGGGGGAGGCAGCAGGGCTGGAACAGGAGAATTTGGAAGGTGCTGTCTCCACTCCCACTGCAGAGCTCCTGTGAGCCCAGCCATATCTGAACCAAAAGGTGGGCTAGGCTCGACTGGGCCACGCTGCAAGACCGACAGAGATCCTCACCTCTTCCCGTCAGGGTGAAAAGCAACGCTATTTATCGGACCAAAGTGACCCTTCACTCTGCCAAACTCTTCTTCAAAAGCCAAGTGGAAGAACCTGGGAGAAAGAAGATTTAAATTATCAGAAGAAGTCAGGAGCCTGGTTAGAGATGCAATCAGGGTTTCCTCAAAAGAGCTCTGCAAATTTAGTGATTTCTCCAACACTGCCAGGAGAAAGCTGCTCTGGGAACAGCACCCCTGGGCTGTCAGGAGTCCTCCAGGTGAGGACTGCCAGAGGAGAAGGACCAACCTGGCCTCAAATTTGCCAATCCTGGTGGAGGTCGTGGTCACATCCATGGCCTCCTGCCCACCACCAAGCACGACCTGCAAAGAAGAGAAGCCGCAACACTTCAGCGCTGCTTATTCCACGCCCTCTGTGGGGAGAGGAAACAGCCCAGGCCTTGGGGAAGCCTCCTCCTAAACCAGCAGACCCCACAAACCTGACTCCAGCCCCAGAGAAGTTCCCGCCTCCCAGACACACTCGTTTGAAAATCAGAGGACATAAAGCCACGTTCCCCACACCAGACCGCAGCAGAGTTCCCCAAACCCATCCCACAGCCATGATTTTTAGCTGGACTGGTGACTCTCTTCCAGCTACCTGGGACAACGCAGGGGTCCCAGTAAGACTATTACAATGAGTGAGCTCATTCTTACATGATCAAAAATGGGGGAGAGTGCAGCAGAGTTCACCGGTCGCTCCGTCCGGAACGTCTTCAAATGCTCAAGTGTCGTGCAATCAAATAGCTAGGAGGCAAAAAGGGAGAGAGTTATTCTGCAAGAGGGCTGGCAGCACAATTAACTCACACAAATCTGGCTGCTAGGCCTCACCTGGGCAGTTGTTAGCCCTACAGTTGCTCATGGGCACCCAAATCCCAAAAACGTTTCCCCAGAATCCCAAAATACCGGCCTAAGGGAAATCTCACCTCTACCACCTGCTGGAGGTAGAAAACTGCAGGTGTATTTTGGCAATGTTTGTTTTCAATGGCTGGCTGTTAATTTAATGCAGTGGCATCTCCCCTTTCTCACCAAACTTTCCCACTAAGCTTTGACTTTCCACTTAAATTAATTTCTAAGGAGCTCCTGCAAACAAATATCAGCAGCCCACTGTATTTCCAATGGGAGGCCTCACCTTGGCTGTGTTGTCTTTGGAGGCAGTGATGAACATGGTCATGTCCCTGGAGGTCTGAATATCGTTGATTTGCTTGGTGTGCTCCTTGATGTTTGACAGCTGCTCCCCTGACTGAAGGGGCAAGAAGGCAGTTTCAGCGTGCTGGCAGATGAAGGGAGCATACACACAACTTCCCCATTAAAAAGAATTTAGGAGATGTCGCTGTCAGCAGCGGGGTGGACATTGGTATGTCAGCCCGGCTCAGGGGTGCTGCCTATTTATCTATTCTTCCAAGAGGCTGCTGGTTTGAGCCAAAAAGCCCATACTCTGTCCCGTGATCACAACAGGAACACTGTGATATCCTTCCCCAGGCACTGCTGCCCGAGGGAGATGCTGTTCCTTCTGAGACTGACCTTGGCACTGAACTGGTTCAGCTCTCCACTCTCATGTCCTGCGATAATAAACTCTCCCAGAGGGCCCCACACAGCACTTGTGATTTTAGAGTCACTGCAGGGGATTTTCATGTAAGGCTCGTTGTTCTCTGCAGGAAGGAAGGAAGGAGACAGACAGACAGACACAGTGGCACCAGCTCCAGGATCAACGCTTCCCTTTATTCCCCGGTGCAGGCACTGGCCTGGATTCCTCACCGATCTGGCTGGGGTCCCGGAGGTCAAAGAAGCTCACAAAACACTGATATCCCATCTGCTTGTCTGTGGAAAACATGATGATGTTTCCTCCAAAGTCGAAGCCACATGTCCTCACCGCTGAGCTGGTCTTCACCAGGGCGAGCTGCTTTCCTGAACACAGAGCAGAAACCATCACTTCACCGGGTGTTTTATTGCAAGGTTAATGAAAACGGGCAGCTGAAGGGCAGGGTCAGAGGGAGGATGAGAGCATCGGGAAAAGCTGGAGAGCAAGTTTGGTGACCTGCAAGCTCTTGGGCAGTAAAGTGAGTAGACTTCACGGCAGGGCAGAACTGCAACTCAAACACAGCTCCGTGGGGAGAGAAGCCTCTTACCTGTTTCACAGTCCCAGAGCCGACAGCTGTTATCCGCAGAGCCGGTGAGCACATGTCGTGTGTCCCCTAGGCCACCAGTTAGGGAACATCGGCACGTTTTCAGCCCCAAAAAGCTACTCTCTAGCTAGCCAGAGAGTATTTAAGCACAAAATTAAAAAGCTGCATTACACAGAGACTGGGCAACATCCATTCCAGGACCGGCAATACTCTGGCACAGACACGGAGCCCAGGTGCTCCCGTTACAAACCCCACCACTTTCCTCTTGAAATGTTGAGGAAAAAGGCTCCAGCTTGTGCATTAGCACAACCTTTGCACATTTTTGTCTCTTGCTACCAGCTGCCCCCATCGGAGACGGAAGACCTTGTGCACCTCAGGCACCTTCCCAGAGCTCCCAGGGCCACCGGCTGCAAGAGCAATGATGCACAGATGAGAGCAGACAGGGCAATGCTGTGTGTGTCACTCCAAGCAACAGCCCGGGAAGAAAAATACCCCAAAAATAGAGTAGGGGAAAGTCAGCAGAAGAGTTAAAACACATTCTATCGCCCCTATGCTCCTCTTCGAGAGGAAACAGTACAGCAGTTGGGAGCAATCAGGTCCAGTGAGTCACTGTAAAGAAAATATATGGGCCAGACAAACTGGTTTCTGCACTCAAAGGATACAGTCTGCATCCACGCACCAGACAGCTCCTGTGTGGCCGTTGTAGGTTCCAAGCCTCTCTCCGTTCACCGAATACCAAACGTTGACAATCTGAGAGAAAACAACCAAGCACCCCTCTTACCAGGGGGATTAATTAACGTGACTGCCGACACGCCGGTCGATACCACGGGAGGAGCTGGTTTTCACCCGGGGGAAGGGGAGGGGGAGGCAGGCAGGGCCCGCTGCACTCACGGGATCTTTGGCCACGGTGAAGAGCAGGTCTCCCTCCCGGTTGTACTTGATCTGCGTGATGGAGCGCTCATGGCCCTGCAGCAGGATCGGCTTCTGCCAAGGGGGGAGACGCCATTTAATGCCTCAAGGCGAGGCGCGGCCTCAACCCCCAGGTCGGGGCTCACTGGGGGGTGAAGGGGGGAGGCAAGCTGCTTCCCCCCCACACCCCTCCGCGCCCCCCAGAGCCCCGTGCCGGGGGTCCCGCACCCTCCCGCCGCCGGGCCCGGCCCCGCTCTCACCATGGCGGCAGCGCCGAGGGGAAGGAGCCGCGCGGCCGCTTCCGGGTCAGAGGGAGCGCGGAGCGGAAATGACGTCGCCGTCGTTATGGCGCCCGTCGGTGAGCTTCCGGGACTGAGGGGCTGCGCTCCCAGACGGGGACAGGCCCGTGGGGAACGGGAGGGGAAAGAGCCACCGGCTGAAGCTCTTCCCTCAACGGGGTGGGGTGGGAATGTGGCGGCAGGCTGGGCCCTGGGGGGGCCCTTCCCTGAGGGCGGGGCGCGGCCTGGGCCCCTGCGGGGTCTCCCCTGAGGGGGCCCGTGGGTTGGGTTCGCTGTGGGGCCTCCCGTGATGGGAAGAACGCGGGCGTGGGGTGGGGTGGCGTGGGGTGGGGTGGGATCTTCCCCGGGCGGGGAGTGCGGCCACGGGTTGGGCTGGCTGTGGCGCTTTCCTCGGAGGGGAGGGTGGGCGCAGGCGGGGACCTGCGAGGGGCTTTCGCTGAGGGGGAGGGAGGTGGCAGCGCGGCCCTTCGCGAGGGAAACCCGCAGGGAGCCGGGCTGGTGGAGCCTCTCCCTGCTGGGACGGCGGTGGGCCAGGCTCTCCGTGGGGAGATGGGGAGAGGCTGACCGGCTGCCGACCCTCTGAGGGCAGTGATGGCAGATCATCCCCCACCACCTCGCTCCCCGGGGCCACCGCGCTGAGCCCGGGCTGTGCTGCAGGAGAGGCGGCGGTGCTGGTGCTGGTGGCCGTGCTGTGGGGCAGCACCGGGCCGTTCCTGCGGACGGGAGCAGCAGGGCTGGAGGAGGTGCGGTGCCAGGGCCGCCTGCAGCAGCTGCTGGCTGAGATCCGCTTCCTGGCCCTCAACTACAAGGTGCGATGCCGGCCGGGCTCCCAGGCCTTGGGGATCATTCCTACTTGCTTAGTTCTAAGCTTTGTACTTCTATTTAAATTGCAAAATATTCCACCTGTCATCAGAATTCTTTCTGCTCGGTAATATTTCATTTAACTGCCTATAGCAATGCTCTCCCGTGCAGGATTAAGACCGCATTTCGTAGGCGGCAGGTCGTTAACCCTCATATTTTACACAAAATAAACCCAGTGGGCCTTCTGCATATTGGGGAGCTAAGACATCGAGCAGCATGCAACTGGCAGTGGAATTGCCAGTGCACTGTGTTTCCACTGCTGAAGGCAGCACAGGGCGAGCGGGTCTGGGCTCCCTCGGGGCGCGCGGTGGGTCTGCGAGCAGCAGCTGACAGGTTTGTGCTCCTCCTGCAGTACGTGGTGCCATTTCTGCTCAATCAAAGTGGATCTCTCCTCTTCTACCTCACCTTGGCATCCGCAGGTTGGTTCACATTGCTTTCATGGAGTGGGTTGATTGGAATTTTGGGAGGATCAATAGCAATCAATAGCACTGGTGACTCAGCTAAACGTCAAGCAGCTGTCTTGTAAACATCAGAGTTAAAACAACTGTCTTACAATTTGTACGAGATTATCTGGTTTTGACTGTTTGTTAAAACCATTCCGTTTCAGATCTCTCCCTGGCAGTACCACTCTGTAACTCTCTGGCTTTGATAGTCACGCTGGTGACTGGGAAGATTCTGGGAGAGGACATCGGTGGTAAAAGTAAGTTACACTTAAAACATTTCCTCACATTCTCCTGCGCCTATTTGCTGACTTAATAGTAGTGTGGGCTACTCTCTGGTCTCCTGAAAAGCAGAAAACTCCCCCGGAAGGGCTTTAACTAGTTAAGTAGTAGTTCTTGCTACAGAACCTGAACGGGAAGTGAAACAGTCTTGTAAGTGGGCAGGGCTAGTGTGTCTGAAGTGAGACTTGGCTGTTCTAAGCTAACAGAGTTTATAGGCCTGAGCCTTTATCTAACTAGATGTTTAATCATAAGAGGAGCACTAAATAATATGCCCACCATGGAAAAGGAATGCCCCATATGCCCCCACATGTCAGCACCCATCCTTCTTTCCTTCCCTTACGTCCTACAATAACATTACCCTGCTCAGAAAGTCAGAAAATGGCAGGATACCCAAAAGCTTCAGGACACCAGGACCTGGCACAATAGCTGTAGGAATATAGGAAAAGGGGTTTGTGTTGTTAAAGGCCGGTTCTCGCTAGCCAGACATACAGCATCAGCAACATTTTCTTAGAAACAGGCTTTGCCCAATGCACACGGGCAGGCCAGACATCCAAACCCCTTCAGAACTCTCCTGGCCCAGACATTTCTGCTCTCCCCTTTACTGTGACACCCGAGCATTATGTATTTAGCAATGAGAGGATCTGACTGGCATTGAACCATGTAAGCTTTCACCGTATTGTTCGTTTCTGCAGGGGCTGCGGCAGGAATGCTGCTCACTGCCCTAGGAGTCACGCTCTGTGTAGCTGCTTCGTGAACGAGACGTGGTGAGAAGCAGATGAAGAGAACCTGTTCAAAGGTAACCCCCATGGCTGATGGGGGCTTCTGGCTCAGGAGCAGACCCTTTGGCTCAATTACACCTAGGAAGAGCTGTATTTTGACACACAGATGTCAAAAACTGTGAAAATACGGACTATACTCCCTGAGCAGGGTGGAACAAGGTGTGTTGTAAGGACATCCTATTTAATGTCTTGAGATAAGGAATTTCTTGTCTGTGGGTGTTTCAAGGCAGGGATGATTGAATTGTCTTGTTCAGCACCAGAGGGATAATAAATGGTTAATGAATCATTCAAAGGGAGCTTCTGGGACCAAATGGTTTTTCTGTAGAAGGAATCTATTTAGGCATTCCCCCTTTTTGTGGCCAAGCACCTGAAAGTGGCTTCCTCCACTGCTCTCAGCTCAGGTCATGCTGCACAGCCCCTTACGCTGCGGTTATCGTATGGCTTTTCTCCACTGGAGTCTTGCAGAGTGCCTCTCATCTGTAAAATAACAGCAGGGCAGTTTGTCCCTAGGGAAGGAAGGGTGTTTTTCTTTTCAGTGAAATTACCAGTCCAAAATACCAGATAGATCACAGAAGGACAAATCCTTGTAACCCTTAACTAATCAGGAATGCTAGGGAAGGAAAGAGAGAAAGCCTTGCACCAAGAGGGTTAATACAAGAGCTGTTTATTACTATGACTTTTCCTAAATGAGGCAGATGCTCCTAAAACAAGTTAGCAGAAATAAAATGTATGTAGTTTTGGTAACAGGTTTGATCGCTGCAAACATTATCCAAGTGTTCCAGATCAGAGGGACAATGATGTGATGAAATCTCCTGATAAGAAGTATCTGACATAGAACAACTTCCTGGCAAACATTGTGTTATAAAGGCATGTATTCTATTTGGTAATTCTTCCTTCTCAAGTTCACATACAAACCAGTTTAATTAAAGTTCAGAAAAGCAGCCATCTCCTCTGCCACATCATCACACCACAGAGATGAGGAAAGCGGGGGGAAGATTTTAATTTAACAGCATTGTGCATTTGATTCATTGCTCACTGGTGTTCCACTTCTCAAGCCTAGATGAAGAGGATGCTTGATTTTAGAAGAGTTTATTAATTCATCAAAAGCTTGGCCAGTCTGTGGTGTAACTGTCCCTCTTCTCCCATCACAGCCCCTTTGAGAACTCCTCAGAGGTCTTTGCTGCCAAGGGCAACACTGTTCGGTGCTTTTCATCCTCAGAGTCACTGGCATCCCTTTTCCATGCCCCAGGCTTTTGTGATTTGTCTGTAGTCCATACCTTTTTGTGGTGAGAAAGAAATACAGTTATTAATGTAGCACTTCACTGTTACAGAAAGATTCTGGGACTAAATTCCTTGATTCCATTTCCAGTCTTACCCTGGCTTCAGTATGCAAGCTTGGGTCTCTGCGTTAAATTCAAAGATAGTTTATTTATTTCACACCTAATGATTCTCCTGCAGAGGGGATCTGTGACACTCCAATAGTAACGACTGTAAAGCAGTGGGATCTGGGGAGGTGGGGGGGGAAAGGCCAACAGAAAGCAGCACTAGCTAATTCTTCACCAGGGCTTTCTCTAATTTAAGTTCAAAGGAGTTGTTTTCCTTTGAAGTTCTAATTAATCCAAAGAGATTACCTAGGCAGAACCATGAATCACCTACAATATAATGTGTGTCATCCCATTACATCAATTCTGAATATCCTTATGAGAAGTTTAAAACATTAATACACCACAAACAATAAGCATCTCACAGGCATTTTCCACACAGATTTTTGTTTCTAAAAGAACGGCTTTTTTTCCCTTTTAAAAAAAGGGTTTAAACTTATTACTATCTAATAAATGTGTTCAGTCATTTTAGGAATTACGTTTATTCCGTTCAAGCTTCTAAGTTTCACCTAGCTACAGGCAAGTTCTGCTTAACACGTTGTATTTGGGGGTACTGAATTTTAGTGTAAGAAGTCTGAACACAGCCAGGAAGGATCTTACACACTTCACAGAACCATTACATGGAATAAATACCTTACTGTGGTGTATCGTTTTGGCTTTTGGTACAAGTTCTTCTGTAGCTCTCTGGAACAGGACTAAGGGTAGAAGTAGTGCACACACAAAAAAAAAAAAAAAAAACATCCAGGAAAGCCTGTGATATCCTTACTGCAGTGAGAAGCTGTAACTCTCACATTCCAGGAGGGAAATGTTCATTACCCAAATTACAATTTCTTGGCTTTCTAAAATGTGAAGCCCTGCAGTTACACACTGTCCTCTGCTTTCTGAAGTTCCCCCTGGTGGCTATTTTAATCTTTACACATTGTAGAGGAGCACAGCGCTTCGTAAACCTAACAAATAGGATTTAAAACAAGCGAGAAAACTGAAGGATTTCCCCAAGCAACTGCTCTCAACTATTGATTGATGTGTTCTCACAGGCTGGCTCTGAGCTGGTCTCCCTGCTGTGCAGAACCTGCAGCACCAATAGATTATAGTGGGACCAGTGAGACTCCTAACAGGACAGAAAATAATTTCTCAGACCTGATCAATGGGCACGTCCACCCTTGTGTGTTTGTCCTCTTTTACTTCCTGGGCACCTCGCATCTCCTTCCTAGGATCTCTGGGTTTATAGACACTTTCTTCTGCGAGGGGAAGAAAAGAAAAAAGCTGTTCAAGGGGTATTGCAGATCACCATGGCCTGGTCTTGCTGTGGCTACAGAAAGGTCCTCATGTGTGCCCAGATGAGGAAAGAAGCAAAAATATAGAAGTTACTGGATGCATCACTGCTTGCTTTCAGCACATGCGCAGGTATTTTGTCCTTTAGCATCAGAATAAAGCCAGTCTTCCTCTATACTTCTAGCAGTGTCCTTTACCTTGATCAGGCCAGTGCTGCACATTCCTGCTGTTCCTTCTGTTTTGTCCTGCACGGACAGGTTTACCATGGAAAATGGACTCTCTGAGGTGAGATTTCATGGCTTGCTTTTGCAGTTGTGGAAAAGCAGCTGGGATCTTGTCTTTCTCTGCAGCTCCTGTGGTCTGCACCCTGCGACTGTCCAGCTGAAAGTATTCATCACACACTGCTGATAGGCCTTCTTGAGAAAGCAGTTTATAAAATGAGAAAAGTTTTGCAGGGCAATCCCCTAAACACTGCAACTTCCCCCTGTGACCCTTGAGACTGACTGGTACAAAACTGTAACAGTGCATTCTCTGACCAGGGTTTTAAGTTGATACTAGAAGTAAAACAGATACAGGGAAGACAAGCAACACTTTGGGCAGTCACTAGTACCTGTTGAGGTGGTTCAGCAAGAGCAGAGTCACCCACATGGACCAAACTCAGTTCACCAAACTGAAAACAAACAAAAACCAAAACAAAACAAAGGAAAATGAAATTTTAAAAGCAAAAGAGCACTTTCAAAATAGCACAGATGCACATTTCAATGGACAATCTAGGCCACCCAGCTGCTGTATATGAAGTATCTGTTGGGCTTTTTACCCACACAGTGAGCAGGAAAGATATCCTAGCTCCAGGAGGAATTCTCCTGGCCCATCAGCCAAAAAGGAGAAGAGGTAAGTAAGGCCACCTTGAGTTTTTCTTCAGGCAGTGAGATTTAATTCAAGCAAGATCTGGCCACGTAGCTGTCTCTAGCTCCTCTCCTTTGGGAATGGTGCCAAGCAAGAATGGTGTAGGCACAGCAGTTGGGAATGGAGGTTGCTGTACACATCCTTTGCATGCGGATGGATGTCTGCACAAAAGCAACTGTGATCGTAGGACAAGCAGTCCCGCGCCAGCCGAGCTACCTACCCTTCTGCGATACTTTTTGCGCCTGCTATTTGGGTGGTTCCTGTAACAAAGAAGCAGCAGATTCTCAACATCAGGCTAGAAGTCAGCTGTAAGAGGACACGATCTCCCCTTTTCCCATAAGAGAGGGCCCCTGAAGGTGTTTTTTTCTCAGCGCAGGTAGAGCACACTCCACAGCAGATCACATTCCTGTTACATCACACTGCCCAGCACAGGCCTGTGACATTCGGTGCCCAGCCTAACGGGCAGGTGCTCCTCAGTGCTCAAGGAACACTTACCTGAGAAACAACCAAACCACTTGCTTTTGCTTTCTCTGGCACTGAACTCTGGATTGCAGGGGTTAACCCTTACACCAAAAGCTTTGAAAACACATTCTTTCTTCCTAAACTTCCAACGCACGAAGCAAAACTCAAGCCCTGAAGCTGACAGCACTGAACAGGAGGGCTGCTAAAAGGATGGCTTTAGCTGAAGCCCACCATGGAGAGGATTCTTTTAAACCACTCAGCTTCAGTCTACGTACCACAGCGTCCTGCACGCAGAATCCTGGGGCACCAGCAGCTCAAAGTAAGGCAGTTTTTTGTACTCCTCATTTCCCACTGCCACATAGTAATGGCCATTCACCAACTCCTCCCCACTGGACACCTGGGTTCCGTCCAGCCTGCAGAGCCTCAAGAAGAAGACAGCAAAGGGTTTAGAGCTGTCACAACACCCCAAACAACTCCCCAGCATGTAAGCAAATACATGCAAAGTGCTAAACAGGCCCAAGACAAGTCAAAGAGGATCAATCAAGGATGTACGCAGAAATACTACACCCAGCAATTGGTGAGATGCAGTAGATCTCAGCTTTCTCCTTGGGTGTCAGTAAATATGTGTATGAGGAGAAGGCAGGCTGTATTTGTTGGATAAAAGCCCTTCCTCTGGACATAAACTCCTTTTCATGCTTTACTGATTGCTTATTGCTTCTTCACCAGACCACCAGCAACATCAGCCCCCCTCATAAAGCAGCCAGGACATCTGATTTAAAGATGGGAAAACCTGAAAAGCAAACGAGTTTGCAAAAGCAGACCAGAAGTCTGAACTCCCAGTCCTCTCTGCTAATCAGAGCTGCTTGTGTTCTGGACGTAAGGAAGGGGGAGCCAGCAGTGCCTTATCTGGATACCCACTTGCTAACAGCTCCGCTGCGCAGGTCGGCTTTCTCCGTCAGCGTGGCCAGGAGGATGTCCCACTGCAGTGGGGTGCTCTTGGAGAGCAGCAGTGGGAAAGGAGGGCTCAGCAAATCCCCATTCCGGAAAACACTGCAGTGGAAACAACCCAGAGCATGCAAAGAGCCAGTATTCCTGCAGCTGTGGGAGATGGAAAAAGCCAGCCACTGGTGCCTGGACGATGTTTATAAATACTTCTAGTAGAAGCTGGGAATTGTCCCTTTGGGGCAGCGTTCCCAGGATCTCACAGGAAAATTCCCTCCTCCAGCCTCCAAAAATATTCCCAGAGACCCTCTTAAGGAGAAAACATCGAGGCACTTACTGTATCGTGCAGGGCAGGCGGGCGTGCTTCTGCCATCGCGCCAAGACGTTCGACTTCCAGGGAGCTACAGTGTGGAACTAGAGACCGAGTTCAGAGCACAAGAACAGCGACAGCCCTGGCACAGGGCCTCCCAGGGCTTTCCTCCATCAGGAGCTGCCTCCCCGGACACCTCCTGCCCTGCCTTCAGGCTTCCTGCTGCTAGGTGGGGTTTGTTGTCAGCAACACGGAGGCTGGAGAAGCTCTGAGCGTGTTCCAGAACTGCCAACAAACCTCCGAGCACAAATCCTTCCCCTGCACCGTTAAGGGGGATGGAGGGACACAGCAGCAGCCCCTCCGCTGTCTCACGTGTCCTACTGATCCCTGTGGCAATTTTGCCTGATCTCCACTGGGCACCTCACAGCCTTAAATCTCAACTTCAGTTTCACCCGTGCCAGCCCTAGTGTCTCTCACACCTCCCTGCTCGTTCTGCGCTCCCGCCTGCCCCTACTCAGCTCAGGGACTCACCTGCAGACCCTCGCCGTTCCTCGTCCCGTGGAGCTTCTTCCTTCTGTGATTTAAATAGCTGTGAGAACAAGACAACGACGTTGCCACGTACCGACTGGGCCATGGCTGACCAAAGAGCAGCGAGGGAACAACGAACTGCTCTACCTCGGTGCATCACCATCGTGGGTCACTTATTTGGGTCACTTCTGAAACGATTCTCCAGGTGCCTCACCTCATGGTCTCCCCGAACTTCAGTCTAAATTAAAGTCTGCTACTCCCAGCCAAATACAGACCATTGCAGACACCCAGTAGATTTTATTCCTTTGTGTTACTCGCTGTATCAGGGCTCCAAGGGCTGACCAGTGTTAGTGCAGCCTGGACCACCTCTTCAAGAAAATGCAATACACACCACGGAGCCAAATTCACCAAGCGCACACACAGACACCCCCGCAAGAGACAAGTGATCCCACAAAGCCTTCTTTAACCCTCTGTATTTCAGGATGAACCAAACCAGCTCTACTTTGTGCAGGATTAGGAATCAAAAAAAACCTTCATCAAACCAAAGCAAAAGTATTTGTCAGTGGAGACAGTGTGACTGCCAGCTCGGCCAAGGAAGTGGGCAGAACCTCCCACACACCACAAAACAAGGTGCACAGCAGGCAGAGCAGCGCCCATCACAACATCCTGCCAGAGAACACGTGTCCCCCAACATGTTTTCTTCTAAGAGTCAACTGACCTTATTGGGAATATTTGCATTTTCCATGCAATCTGGAATATGGTCAGTAGTTTCCAGTAGGAAAATAAATTCATCTCTGTTTTTCATTGGCTTTCTACCCTTCCTACCTCTTTTCCATTCCCACCCCAATACGTTCCCCACAGAGGTGATCTAAAGCTGCTTACACCAAACCCAGAGACCAAAGGTCCATCTACTCACTTGAGCTTTTTGAACTTTTCAAAGCCCGCAGCCACGTACTGGCACCCATCCTGCAGGTCCCCCAGCCCAGCGACGCGGTGGCCGTGCCTGGGTGTGTAGAGGTTCCTCACAGCCAAGGGTGCATGAATGCTCCTGGTCACCTCATTCAGAAATGCCTCAAAGGTCAGAAACCGACGCTGGTTCACCACAAACTTCCTCCCGGGGAAGAAGGGATCACCATTGCGATACACCACCACGTTCTTGGCTGGAGGTGCCAGAGCTAAGCCACAGGAGCTCATCCCCCGTGGGTCAAGCAAGCCCTGCTGACCACAGAGGCACACAGAGCAACGTGGGGAGCAGAGGGGAGCTCCGGCCAGGCTCCTCCTGAGCCCAAACCCTTCCGACCAGCCGCCCCCGCGCCCTGCCATCCCTTCCCAGCGCGGGCTGGCGTGACTGGCTGTCTCCATGGACGCAGACCCAGCGGGAGGAAGTTGTGGGCCTGTCTGGAGGCCACATCAAACAACCTGCAGAGCACCTTTCTGTTTGAGAACCAGGAACCACGCAGCTCTTTCATCCTCAGACACCGAGCACTGTGAGCTCCCGCACCAGCCACTGCGGCCACCAGGCTCAGATTAACAAGCCTGGGGATGCAGGAAGTGCCGGTATCTTTCTGGCACCAGCTCATGTCCCATCCAGAGCAGCACTATCCAGAAGCTCTCACCCCCCTTGCCATCACTTGCTACCTGCAGGAGAAGAGCAATGGATTTCTGTCCTGTGTGTATTGGACAGACATCCACATCCCAGCAGACAGACCACACTTTGCACTGAACAGGTTGCCATGGACTCATGTGGCCCTGCCCAGAAGGTGGCAAGCCAGACAGGAATAGACAGGTTCAGAAACGACCTTCAGGAAAGCTTTTTATTCACAAACAAGTCAGCATCATCGGGAACAGAAAGATACATCTGCCGCACGGCAAAAGTGAACGTTCAGTCAGCAGGAATGCAGAGTGTTTGCACAGAAGACTTGGGGTTACAGTACGGAACCACAGCACCACGTGGGAAATCCCTCTCTGAGGGACCTCAAATGCCCCTGAACTAGAGCAACATACAAAGCGCCAAACCCCGCAAGCCTGTCCTTGCTCCCTCAAGCACCGGTCCAGGTGATGCTGCCACACAGAGAGATATTACCACAGCCAGACACACGAAGGTGGGAACCAATCCTCATCTCCTGAAGGTCAGGTTTGATGCACCATCGCTCCCCACCAGCTGCACAGGAAAGATAGGAAACTCTCCTCTTAAGACTTCAACTAGGTGTTCCCCAAAGCCTACCAGGAGCACGTGGAGATCCCAGATATTGCAGAGCTGTCCCAGATACCCAGCTCAGATACGCGGTTCAGTGGAGGAGAGCTTCTTCCAAAAGCACCTGCTGCCTTCAGGCATTTTAGTTCCAGCACAAGCGATCAGATGTCAGAAAGCGCCTTCTGTAAATGACAGTCTTCCCAGCCTCAATTTTTCCCCTTGGACTGTCCAGCTCAGACAACAGAACTAGGGTTCATGTGGAAGGAGGCATCACTGCGACCCCCTCCAGGACACATAACCACCTAGGTGGCTTCACAGTGATGTTTAATCCCTGCTTTGACTAAATATTCATGTTTAAAAGAAATAAAAGGCCTTCTTGCCACATTCATCTAAAGTGGAAAACATCAGCCCGCAGGGCTGGAGCTCCCCTTAGCAGCTGCTGTCCGTGAGGTCATGCCACGACTGCGGTGCTGCAGCTCCACTGCTTCTCCACACCAATACAAGTGCCCCACGTGCTGGGGAATGCCCTCCTACAGGTCAGGAGGCCCCAGCCTCTGTTTCAGCATCAGGTACTGCAAGAGAAAGAAAATCAAGCGTTACCAATTGAGTCCCAGAGACCCAGAAGCAGGAAAGCACCCACCCTTGCAGGTTAGCCAGCAAAATCACTGCACTGGGCCAGAAGATGCTCAAGTCTCCCCTTTCAAGCGCTGCAAACAGTGGCTCACTGCACTGCCCAGTGCCCAGGTGCTGTGCAGGCAGGAGTTATAACAACGTCCCTGTAGCAGGCCAGGAGCAAAGCTTGTAGTCAGATTTAAACAGCTCCTGTTTTCCTTCCTTTTTCCTCCAAAGAAAAAAAAACAAAAACAAAAACCCAAACAAGCAAAAACCACCGCCCTGGCCGCCCACGGGCACTGGTCTGACCCACGGTTTTGGAAGAGGCGGGTCAGGCACTTACATTTTTACGGCTGACAATTGCTTGTTGCAACCACAGCAACTCCATGATCAAGTGATTTCTGTAGGACTGGAGACCAGAGCGAGTTCGAGGAAGGTCCTTTATGTCCTCAAGTGGAATTTCTGCAAAGAAATGGAAGAACAACCTATTACTAGAACAAAGATTCAGGTTGCACCTACTGTCTCTCCCGTTCTGATCTCTCCAAGACATTCGCAAGGTTTTGGTTCTGCAAGGACCTTCTGTGCCCCCCACACTCACCCCCAGCTCACTGGGACCACGCTGCGCACCCGCTCCCGACTCTTACCCGGGCAGGCTTCAAGGGACTCTGCCTCCAGAGCAGCACTGCCCCACACAGGGGATACGCTGCTGTCGTTCTGCCAGTCCTCGCTCTCTGCTGGGGCACTGCAGCCCTCCTCAGGGCGTTTCTCGGCATCGGCCCCAAGATCTGGGGGGCTCGCTACCTCACCTTCACCCGCGGAGCTCGGTTCTTTTTCACTTTGCAGCTGAGCTGCAGGTTTCACACTGCTGCAGCCCCAGTCCCGTTCTGGTTCAGAGGTGTCCAGCTCCTCCTGCGTTTTTTCCGCACTGGCCTCGTCACTCAGTACACCCTCCTGCAGACCTGAACGCTTCCCTTGAGTTGGCTTCTAAAGAGGCAACACGCAAGAGATTGAAATATGAGGAAAAGAAAATATAAAGATCTGAAAGGTGGCTGTGCTGCTGGCCAGAGTCTGTCCCAGCTGGACACCCGCTGTTAGCAGCACTCCTGTCATGACACCGACATGCTCTGTGTTGAACCATCACAAATTTTTTAAAGGGCTTTCCTTCCAGAAGCAGTAAAAACATCAGAGCGCTGCGCTCAGCCGCCACAGGAGCGGGTCCGGCCGCTCCGCAGGAGCAGGTGAGGTGGGTGCCCTGGGACAAGACCCGCAGGAGTCACCCGCACAGGTCAGGCTGAGCTTCACCCGGGGGAAAGAAATCCTTGGTCAGGGACAAGTCAGGGAGAGTCTCACAGCCCGGGGCTACGTAATTATTGTTTTTCATTTGGTGGAAATACGGGTTCCAGGGAATATGCTGCAAAAGTATCATCTGCCCAGTCCCACAGGCCACAGCACACACACACACCCCCCCCGACGCAGAAGCCCCCGCCCGCCCTGACGCACCGACCTGGGGGACAAACAGGGGCCGCGGCAGGAACCGTCCCCCCCACTCCAGCTGGCTCAGGTCCCCTTCGATCTCCCGCACCACCTCCTCGTACTCTGCCCGCAGGCTCCCGAAGCGCTTCCGCAGCAGGTAACCCCTGACGCAGGCCTGTGGGCGCGGGGCGGGGGGGGGTGTCAGTGCTGCCGGAGCCAGCCAGAGCCCCCCCCACACCCCATCCCACCGTGCCCCCCCCACCCCACGGGACGCGGGCTGGCGCACAAGGAGCACACAGGGCCCGTGTCTGGAAACACAGCGGGATTTAATGAGGCACCGTCGGCCAGAGCGGGGCCCTCACCCCCCCCCCCTACCCCCTAAGAGACCCCCCCCACGGGAACCCCCAGCCAGCTGTGCAGCCCCCTCCCTTCTCCGTGATGCCCCCTCCCAGCCGTGACCCACCCCCACGGGGACCCTTCCCTCAGCCATGTTTCCCCACACGTGTTCCCCCCACGGGGACCCCCCCCGAGGCATTTTTTCCCCACACGCGTCCCCCCCACGGGGGATCCCCCTCCAGCCATGTTTCCCCACACGTGTTCCCCCCACGGGGAACCCCCCCCAAGGCATGTTTTCCCAAGGACACCCTCCCCTCACCCATATTTCCCCACACATGTTCCCCCCCCCCCACGGGGACCTCCCCCCTCAGCCTTGTTTCCTCCACACGTGTCCCCCCACGGGACCCCCCCCAGCCGCGTTACCCCACGGGGACCCCCGCATCCGAGCCCCCTCGTGTCCCCCCACCTGCAGGCGGGTCACGGCGCGGAGCAGCCGCCGCCATCCCTCCGCCTCCGCCTCGGCCCGCGGCCCCAGCGCGGCGGCCATGGCCGCCCCCTCCCCGCTAACGGGGCGCCGGTTGATGACGTCATGCGGCCGCCACAGCCGCCCCTGTGGGTCCCACCAAAATGGCGGCGGAAATTGGGTGGTGGGGGGGGTGGGGTGGGGGGGGTGTTGTGTGTTGTGGGTTTGCTGTTCGCCCCGCAGGGTCTCGCTGTCCCCACGCTGCGTGACCGCTGTTGCCGCCATCGGCCCTTCCGCCGGGGGGGACCCCGGTGTGGGGCTCCCGGGGGGTGGCGGCCACCCCCCCAGCCGGGCCGGGCGCGGGGTCAGGCCGCTGCGTCCTCGGGGTCGGGGCTCTCGGCGAGGTGCAGCTTCTGTCTGGGTGCGGGTCAAGGGCAAGAGCTGCGGGGACGCGCCGTCCCCCCCGCCAACTGCCATCACCGTCGTCACCACCATCACCATCATCACCAGCATTAACATCGCCACCATCATCACTCCCACCGCCGCCATCGCCATCGTCACCGCCACCACCACCATCGCCATCATCACCAGCATCACCACCCCACCACCTCCACCACCGCTGTCACCATCACCGTCATCACCATCATCACTGCCACAACTGCCATTGCCATCACCGTCATCACCAGCATCACCGCTACCTTCGCCATCACTACCCCACCACCTCCACCACTGCCACCACCACCACTGCCACCATCGTCACCACCACCACCACCACCATCATCGCTGCCCCACCACCGTCATCACCATCATCACCACTGCCACCGCCACCGCCACCATCACCGCCATCGCCATCACCGCCATCGCTGCCACCACCGCCGCCGTTGCCCCCGCCCCGCACCCGGCCCAGGATACATGGAGCTGCTGAGCTCCTCCAGCTGCGGGAGGCAAAGGCAGAGCCTGAGGCGCCGGCAGGGAAGCCGGGGACGGCGTGGGGGGGGACACGACACCCCGGCCACAGCAGCGGGGCCGGGCAGGGGGCGAGGGGAGCGACGCTCACGTGTGCCAGCAGCTGGTCCAGGTTCCTGTCGGCTGCCGCCTTCTTCTGCTCCTCGGGGAGCTCCTCCACGCAGACGTCGAGACCGAAGTGGAGCCGCGCCAACTTCTCCTGCATCTCCCGCACGTGCTCCAGCTGCTCGAAGGAGCACTCCTTCCCTGCGCCCGTGGGCAGGAGCCGTCACAGCCCGCCAACCCCGGCTCCCCAGACCCCCCCCCCCTCCCCGGACCCCCTCAGCCCCTCACCGAAGGCCTGCAGCTTTCCGGAGTGGAAGTCGCTGAGGAGGCTGAGCAGCCCTCCCTCCATCTCGCAGACGTCGGAGACGTCGGTGAGGAAGCTGTGCTGCAGCGGGGCCCCCCGCGCCGCCCCCGCGCCGCCCGCCCGCACCCGCTCCTTGCTCGCCCTGCGTGGGGAGCGGAGAGGGTGGCATCGCCCGGTCACCCCACCTGGCCCCGGCTCTGGAGGGGCCGTGGGGGGCCGGTGCTCACCCCCCCCCCCCCGCGCCGACACTGACCGCCTGAGCCGGGCGCGCTGCCTGGGCGAGGGCAGGGTGGGCAGCGGCAGCGCGAAGGACGTGCTCTTGCTGGGGGGCAGCGGCTGCGGGGGCCCGGCAGGTGCTGGCTGGGCCAGGAAAGCCTTGGGGCTCCGCTTCTTCCTCCGATCCTCCATCCTGAGGGGTGCGGGGGCACCGGGACAACCGGGCAGGGACCCTGTGCAGGACGGACACAGCTCTTGGCAGCTCCTTCCCCCTGTGGGGTCCCTGGAGAGGACGCGTCTGCCCCTGAGCTGGCGGGGATTGGGGTCCCCCCCCCAAAGGGAGCAGCACTCAGGGCGGTGCCGTTGCTCCTGCCCCAGCCCGTGGCGCGGCAGAGGGGCCCCCCGGGACCCTCAGGGCAGCAGCGTGCCGGCCACGGCCACAGGCGAGCCGCAGCGGGGTACCACGGGCTGCGCCGCGGCGGCGGGGGGGCTGAAGGCAGGAGCCCGGACCCTGCTCCCGGCCTCCGGCTGCGTTATCCCGGCGTCTGCGCTGGAGCGGGGAAGTCGGGGGCCTGAGCAGCAGCTGGGAGCTGCCGGCCTGGCCTCAGCTTTCCGCGTCTTCCCCAGCGCTGCAGAAAAGAGGATTTCAGCCGCGCGCGCCGGGGCCGAGTGACCTCGGCTGCCCTCGGCGAGAGCGGGGCAGAGATTGCGGGGGGGGGGGAACCCGTCACCCCCGAGGCACCGGCCCGAGCAGCCCCCTGCCTCAGGGCCCTTCGTGGCGGTGGGACGGGGCTGCTGGCGGGGGCTGCGGGAGCCCCTTTGTCCGCAGCGGGCGGCCGCGCAGGGCGGGGACTGACCTGTGCCAGGCCCCGGTCCGGCCTGCGGTGCCGACCCGGCTGCGTCCCCGAGCCCGCCAGGCACCCTGAGCCCTGCCAGGCGCCTGTCCCGGAGCCCTTCGGACACCCCGAGCCCCGCCGACCACCCGTCCTGCAGCCCCGGGGCTGGGATTTGCATTTAAAGGGAAAGGGAACTTCCTCCGGCGTGTCCCCGGGGCGGTGGCACTGCCGGACACCGGCTTTGGGGGGGGAGAGGGCAGGATCCGGCCCCCGGTCCTGTGCAGCCCGAGCAGGCACAGCGGGGGTCTGCCGGGGGTGACAGGGTCCCCTCCCACGTGGCTTCCCCGGCAGAGCTGGGGTCACCATCTGCCACCCCCTTCGGCCGCCCCAGACCCCGAGTGCCCCCGGCGTCCCCGGACTCGCGTGATCCCAGGACCCGCCCCGGCAGAAACCGGCCTCACGCCGGGGCAAGATCAGACGAGTCCCAGCCCCGCAGCGAACACAGAACTGAGCGTGGCTGCTTATTGAATTCATTGCTGGACTTTAAGCCAATCTTGGATATTTTGGAGCCAGTGCAGATGCTGCGGGCTGGCCAGTTGGATCCCACCAGGGCCAGGACGCACAGGGCAGAGGGGCCCAGGGACAGACCCACCCGACCTTCCCCCGTGGTGGGGGAGTCCCGGCCCCGCTGGGGACACGGGGCCGGAGCCCCAGGGGGAAAGGGAAGCCGTGGCCAGTGGAGGCTGACGTGGCCACCCCACGGCCCAGTGCCCCAAATCCTCACTCCCCAACGTGGCCTAATGAACAAAAAACAAGAGGCGGCAGCAGCAGCGAGGTTGGGTGCAATTCTGTTGGTACGAAGGTACATACAATAGCCCCAGCAGAAGTTATCTGTACCATAACAGTGAAAAGAAAAAAAAAAAAGGTGGTGGTGGGGTTTGATGACTTGCTGAGTTTTTTCTTTCACTGAAAGAGCAGGAAGAGGAGTCCAGAGCCCAACTGCAGCCCTCGCTGAACCCGGCTGCTGGGAACTGGGTGGTCCCACCAGGCCAGAGCTACATTCACTTGCTCGGGGGGCTCCTCGCGGCTCTGTGCGGAGGCAAACGCATCCCTGGGCTGGAAGAAGCAACACTGACAGCGAGGGGCCGGACGGCAAAGCCACGCTCAGCTCCAGGGAACACGTCCCAGTGGATGTTCGACCCCATCTCTGCTGCAAACAGGCGCCGTCGTTAGACCTGAACGTGCTGGAGGCCCCGGGGAGGGATGGGGACACGGAGGCAGCTCCCGTGGGCTGTTCCCCTGGCAGCGGGGCAGGTCCTTCGTGAGGACGGAGAGAAGGTGCAAGAGCAGCTGCGTGGCCTGAAGAGAAACCAAAGCTGCTCGGCTGAACACATCCACTGTGAGGAACGGCCCCGGCCGGCGCGCCTCAGCTTCAAGCAGAAGGCAACACTGAAAATAAAGTCTGTCTTAAAGAGAAGCTGCAGCAAGGTCTCCATGCAAGTAGAGGTCTCGCAAAAGAATAGCTACAAGATTTGAGAAACTAAGGAGGAATCCCCCAAGCCCTGCGCCAGCAGGTCCCACGTCTGTCCACAAACCCCCTCCCAGCACAACAGGGTCCTTTGGGCGAGCGCGTCACCCAGCGGGCAGAGGCCACAGGGACCCTCCTGGACACAGCGGCCCTTGGGAGATGCTCTTCTGGGAAAGCAGCAGAAAGGAGAAAGGGGGGTGCTGGGGGAGCCCCCAGTATGGCCAGATCGAGGGCCCACGGGGCTCTGATGCTGCAGAAGGGACCAGCCCCCAGCACGGTCCTTGTGCTGGCCCCGGCGATTCGGCTTAAGCAGCAGGTCGTGGGGCAGATGCGGGTTTTATCCACCCGCAGCCCCGGCTCCCTGGACACCTCTGGGATCACCCGCTCAGCCCCGAGGGCTGGGTCAGGGAGGTGCTGACTGACACGGGGCGGGGGGGGGAAGAGGAGCTCGGGCGGAACCTCCCCGTCCCCTTGCACAACTGATCACACGCGCTTGTGTGCAACACACTTGGGAATTAGACCTTTGGATTAACTGTTTAATACACTTGTGCACATGTGCGTATAGCAAAGAGGCAACTGTGAATCATAAGGCTATTGAGACATCGGCAGGTTCTGGGAAGAGCAGAGGGCCCGGGGGAGGCCTGGGTGAACCGGGCACCCCCTTTCTCTGCTTCTTTTTCTCCCCGTTCAATACACAAACCCCACAGAGAGGGGAAACGGCCTCTTCCACCCTCATTCGCTCAGCTCTCACCCAAGAAAACAAAAGCAAGTCCGGGAGCTCCCTCCTGCCTGAGGCAGAGGAGGGAGAATCGCTTCAGTTCTCCCCGGCTCGGCCCGTTTTCTGGTGCTGAGGGTGGAGGCGGCGCCGCACGGCTGCTTCCCCGAGCTGTGCTGGGCCCTGGGGGAGGTCTCTGAGTGAAAGGGACGATCGGTGGAGGCTCCATATATTAGTTATTCACGCACACGCAGGGAGGTGGGTCATTCTAGTTTTCATATATATCCATATATAAAGTGTACGTTGCCCTGCACATATTTTATATATCATATCATATATATATATATATATAAAATTTTAAAAACCCTCCAAAAACCTAAGCTAGGAAATCTCACATCCCCAGGAGGGCCGTCCTCTCGCGCCCGTCCAAGGACCAGGAGAGGGGCGTCCGATCGACTCTACGGAAACATCCGCGTCACCCTCCCTCACCCCGCGCGCGCGGGGGGGGCTCAGTCACCGCCCCGAGTGCCTTCCTCAGTCCCGCTCTGCCCCAAGGCTCCTATGCTCAGTTCTCCCAGGCTCTCCGCAGGATCCGGGCTGCGCGGCGGCTTCCCTGAGTGAAGGCAATCCTCAGCCAGGCGCTGCTCTGCTGGGGCGACCCCCGCCGCCGCCTCGGAGCCGTCCCGAGATGGGTCCTTCAAAGGCTCCGCCAGGTCCGTGTCTGCCCGGGGCGTGTGGGCACACAGGTCCTGCACCTTCTTATTGAGGTCGTTGCGCTCCGTTTGCAGAGCTCGGCACAGTTTCTCCAAGCGTTGGATTTTCACCTGAAGCCCCTCTAACTCTTTGTCCCGAAGGGTTTTCTGCAAACAGAGAGGCAGTTTAGACTCCACCACACCGGGGACAGAGAGGCAGAAAGGGAGAGAGACGAAACCTAAGGGAAGCTCGAGGGGAAAATACTTGCGACCAAACAAACATTTGGCACTAAAGAACCTGATGCTATCGTCACCACTTCTTCCTTCCTTTGCCCCCACAGAGGCCAAGAGCCGCTGAGACTGACTGACTGCTCCCACGCAGCTCTGCACTAATTAACCATCACTCCTGCCACGTGACAGAGGGCTCCTACCAGCACGTACAGGGAAGAAAAATCAAACTGAAGGGAAAACCACAACCCCCCGCTGCCCCCCCAGCTCACAACACATCACCCCGCGGGTCCAGCCGCCTGCCTCGGCGCAGGGCAGCCAGAGCCTCCTCACCTCCTCAGCCATCTCCAAGAGAGCCTTGTTGCTGCTCTCCCAGCGAGAGCGGTACATCGTGGTCTCTTTCTCCAGCTTCTTGATTTTCTTAGTCATCTATGGAATCACAGTGACAAAAAGGGAACAAATAAGCCAGAGGCAGAGTGCTGCGGTCAGTTACATCTCACGTGTCCTCAAACAGGCACCCACTTTCCCAGTGGAGACGAGACTCTGCTGTCCTGGGAAACATCTCCTTGGCTCGCTGCAGTCAGCTTCACCAGTGGGAAACACTGACCAGGTAACAACAAACCAGGAGACGCGGGTAGCGCTGCTTGTTCTGACACAGGTGGGACACAGAAGTCACCGTGCAAGGGCGGTATCAATCTTCTGTGAGCAGTCGGCTCGTGGCTGATTTTAAAACCAGCAAAACTAAACAAAACTACAGAGCTGTGGCTCTTCCAGCTCGCAGAAGCACTGAGGGGAGACGGCCAGGCAGGGCCTCCAGCCCACGCAAGCTCTGCGGAGCGGCACGAGTGTTACCCACCTTCTCCATCTCCTGTTTAAATGTCGTGAACACTTCACTGCTTTTGGAAAGGGTGTTCTGGAATTCTTCAAACTTCTCTGTGTAGAGAGCCAGCTGCGGGGAGAGACAGAGTTACAGCTCCTCACAGCTCACCACGGCACCTCCCGACAGCCTTCCCCAGGAGAGGGGAGATGGCACCCAAGGACTGAGCCACTTATCTTGTGACCAGACTTTACAACAAATTGGGAGCACGAAGCTGCTCTGCCAACATGAAGTACTGCAGAATGTGGAAAAATTCTTTCCTAGGGAAACATCCTCAGAGACTGATGTGTTCTGCAAACATCTCCCGGCCTTGGCAGGGCGCACTTGCTGGGTCTGATTCAGCAAGGTATGATCACACGACTGCTCCCAGCGCTGGGAGATGCACAGTAAAAACCAAGGCCCCTTTCTCCCAGGAGGCAGAATTGCTGAAGCAAGTCTCAGCTCACATTGTGCTGACACAGGCTCACCAATACTAAACCCAGGAGCAATCCCACCCCTGTGTTCTCGAGATTAAGGAACTTTGGGCTGTTCCCTGCTTAGGGAAGAAGGAAAAAACCAAACAAATAACCAGGCTGAGCACACAGACCAGGTAGCTCACCTGCTGCTTGAGATGGGTCTCCTGCTGCTTCATCAGCTCACACATCCTCTGCGATTCCACAGCTTCCTTCAGCAGCTGGGGAAGAGCAAAAGCAGTTACCTGGCTGCCATCTCAACATGCCCCTGCACGGCTGGTGCTTGGCCTGGAGACAGCAGCGGGCTGGGAGAAACACGGAGCGCAGAGCAGGGCTCCAGCCTTGCTCCGGTTTGGGCTCTGTACTCAGGGATCCAGCAGTAACAACTCTCCGCAGAGGGACAAGGCAAAAAGCAAAGCGCAACCGTTAGAGAACCGCTCTAAGACTTACGAAGTCCTTCTCCCGCTGATGTCTCTCCTCTGCCTCCTTCAGCATTTCCTGTGCCTGCTGGAGCTTGGCGTCCACCAGCTGCTGCTGCAGGTCCTTGTGTTTGAACACCTTATCGATGTGCTGCCACGGGAACACCACCAGTCACTGACACGCTCAGCCCGGTCCTTGCTGCCCAGGCAGCGACCTCGGGGGAAGATCCCAGAGCCCGGAGGCCCCATCTCCCCTCAGGCAGCAGAAACACGCTTCACAGGGCGGAAGGGATGTGCCAGAGCAGCTCTGGCCCGGGTCTCCCGCCCTGACCCACCTCCTCCCGCAGCTCGTACTGCTCGATGAGCTTCTTGAGCCTCTCCGCCAGCTCCATGTTCTCCTGGCGCAGCTTGGAGTTCCTCTCGTTGTGCTGCTCCATCTGGAGCTGGATGTCGTTCAGCGTCACCTGGAAGTGGGATGTCACCTCCTTCCGCTTCTCCTCTTCCTCCCGCGCACGCTGGACACCCTCCTCCTGGGTGAGGAGGGCAGAGACACAGGGGACAGGTCAGCCTCTGCGCTGGGCAGGGAGGGGAGCAAACCGCCCAAACCGTGATGCTCTGAACCTGCCCAGCCTCCCACTGTTGCTTATATCAATCAGGTGGGGACTTTGGGCCTTTCTCCAGTGAATATACCCCGAAATAACACTCAGGCACCGTGGATAATTAATTTTGCTGTTAAGCCATCAAGCGCTGCCCTGGACGGTAGATTGCGGGCAATCAGCCGTAAAGGTAAGTTTGCCAAAGTGGCTCACAGCAAGTGATCCAGGCGCTTGGGATGAAGCAGCTCCTGGAATAGCACCCGGGAGACACTTGCCTTGAGGGTGCGGTTGTGTCTCTGGAGCTCGCGGCACAGGCTCTCCAGCTTGCTGCGGGCCAGGATGGCCTTGCTGTGCTCGCTCTGCAGGTGGTCCTTCTCTTGCACCAGCTGCGTCTGCTTCTTCTGCAAGATCTTCATCTGTTTCTGGGAGTTACGGTGCTCTTCCAGCTAGGACAGGGGAGCAAAGGGCACAGATGCAGCAAGACTGACCAGGGCAATATGCTGTGCCCTGATGAGGGGACACGAGGATCGAAGAAGTGCTTTGAGAAGAAGGTAAGAGCTTTGTAACACAAAAGGCGCCATTTGTGAGCGGAGGAGCACTGATGCTGAGCCCAGGGCCCCCTGGACAGGGCCTTTCCCCTTCCCAAATCCCTGTCCTGCTGGAATCCGAGACTTGCACATTCATCCAGCACCTCCACGTGCACGTTGCTCAAATGGAGCAGAGGGAAAACCCACACACGTGCACCTGGGACACACACAGACAGTCCCACAACTCTCCTCTGCACCAAATCCATGCACAGAAATAGATCTGTGCCTTAGAATTAGCTTTGGTTAAACGTGGCATCAGACTTTGTGTGTGTCGTGTGGCTGAATGTGTGCACACAGCAGCACAGTGACTCTGCCACACACACATTTCTTGCTAGGAAATGATCAACAGAAATGCAGCGGCTGAGTGGTGTCGATGGCAGATGTATCTGTGCGGTCTCCTGTCACCGCTGGGCCTGCCAACTCACAGCTCAGCTCTGCCTGCAGAGATCGGGACGCGCAGGCTCAGCAGAACAGAGCTGGCCACACTAAACTCCTGGGACAGGATGGGCAAGACATGCAGCTTCCACTTTAGATGAGCAGAGAGAAAACAGATCTGAAGTCCACTCAGGCGCAGATTTGCCAAAAATACGCCCGTCCATGCTTACACTTCTGCAAACAACAACGCCTGGCTGGACCAAGCAGAATCTGTCCTCTAATATTCGGATGACCAGCACTGCAGAGATCCCAGAACATACACTGCAAAGCTACATGTGTGATCCTGGACTGTCCCTCTCAATATCAAGAGGAAAAAAATCTACCGGCATCTCCTGCCTCCTGAAGCAGCTCCCGTGCTCCCTGCGGCAGTGTCCTCCCCCAGCCCAGAGCCTGGAACGAAGAAACAAGCACTCACCAGCTCAGCGTATTTCTTGCACAGTGCTGCTAGTTTCTCTTCTGGCGTGCTCAGGGTGTTCAGCGTCTGCATCAGCAAAGTGATTTCTTTGCCTGGAATGAGACATGGAATTAAAGTAATAAGTAAAGTAGAATCATTTACGCAGAGTTCTGGCTCCTAACGGCAAAAACAGGAGAAACAAAGCAGGTCTCACAGCCCCGGGCCAGAGCTACCATCTCCAGTGCCTTCTCAGGACTCTGCCCCACAGATTTCACCACATCCAGTGGGTGAACAACTGAAGCAGCTGGGGAGAGACCTGATTTTCCGAGCAGGAAACCACCACTGAGCGGGCTAGAGAGAATTGTGTCCAGCAGAAGAGAAATCCACAGGATTTCAGAGGCTGCAGCAGCACCCAGGAGCAGTCAGTGCCTTTGCAGCACTTGGTACATTTCCTCACATGCCACAAATCACGATGCTGTGTCGTTCCCAAACACTGCTGCACATCACACCCCCGAGGTTGCTCCGAGGGCAGTTAGTGCAGTATAAAAATCAATGTCTGCACGGAAGTTTTCAGGCTGGCAGCACAACCGGAGCAGGGAACCTCTTACCTAGGCCCTTGGCTTTCTTCTTTTCCTGAGCCTTCTTCTGATCCCGCTCCCCACACTCCTCGCCGGGTCGAAACTCCTCAGTCCCCTTCGTGCTCTCCTTCTCCCCGTTCATCTCGGGGCCCCCCGTCTCCTGGTCGCCGTTCCTCGGGGACTCGCTACGACACTTCTCGGTTTCCTCCGTCTCCGTGGGCTCACTCTGTCCGCCGTCCTCGCCTGGACCCTCCTGGCTGGCATCCACACAGTATGTGTTCAAGATGTCCTCAAGCTGTCTGCTTAGCTCTTCGGAGACGTCACGCACGGCAGGCCGGGAGGACTTGGTGTCCTCCTGTGCAAGAGGAGCTGTGGGAGAGCAGAACACAAAAGCGTGAGACTTCCCCCACACCGTCTATTCTCTGGTCTCTACAAACACAGGGTGAAGGGAAGGTTCCCTGAGCACCCCACTGCACCAAGGCTGGCTAAACTTCCAGCAACATAAGCTGCTTTGTTCTGGCTGCGTCTCCAGCCAGCTGCCCTGACAATGGAGGTGCATTCCTAACAGCCTCCCTTTTGATCACAAGAGCATGACCAAGCCCCTGACATCTGTCAAGAGCAAAAACTCCCCCCTCTCCCCACCATCCTTTAACGAAAGCAGGTTGTGCGTGAGCTTTCCCTCATAGGAACTGCCTGCTAACACCCCCAGAGCCAGGCTTTTTAACATTACAATAGGTTTTTAAACCTCAGTTAGCCTCCCTCCTCCCGTATAAGAGCAGCTGTACTGCCTCAGACCAAATGTATCTTGTCCCCAACAGCGAACACTTAGGGAAAGAGCAGGCAACGCATCCTCCTGCATGCTTCTTTGCTTCCAAAGTTCCTCCAAACGAGAGACTTACAGCAGCTGGATATTAAACTAACTCTACTTGTTGTGCATTTCCTACATCCCACATTTACTGAGCATCAGAATACAAAGCAGGGATCATTTTAACCAACCACCTACTCTACTAGACCTGGTTTTCGTCTTCCAGAGAATAATTTTTATGAGTTGCTAATAACAGGGCAGGTCACTCAACATAATGCTGCCCGAAGGAAAGAGCTGTCTGACATTTTCTGAATGGGACCTTCAGGGCCTAAGCAACAATAAACAACCCATCGTTTTCAGGTAAGAATCAACTCCGTGCTTTGGTCAAGAAGCAGTAACTACTTCAGAACTGTTGTGACTATTTCAGAACACACAGAAATAGGAAGAAACTGGGATTTTCTGCCCTGGAAATCACAGCTGCTCTTATACAGGTAAAAAGAACTGGATACAACAGGCCACCCTCATACAGAGAAAGCAGCACCCTGAATCCTTCCAGGCTCAAAACCCACTCTCACACATTTCCTGTGCTGTGGGGGCTGTCGGTGCTCCTGCCAGCCACGGGCAGGGCCCGGCACACCCCAGGGGCCTCCCCACCTTCCAGGGGTGCTGCGGCCTCCGGCGAGTCGCCCTCCTCCAGCACCAGACCGCTGCTCATTTTGGAAGAGCCAGCAGGCCGCAGGGCTGCTTTGGTCTCACCGCCTTGGTTCTTCATCGTGACCTTTCCCCCTGCTCAGTCCTGACAAACCCTAGAGAAAGAGAAACAGTAACTACACTTAATTTCAAGTAACAGTTTGGAGGATTTTAGGAGTCATCAGCCTGGACTGGGAAGGAACTTGTTCTCAGCAGAGGCTGCTGCCTGCAGCTCTGTGCTGAATAAACCATCATTCTGTTTTCAACTTGCACCTCACCGCAAACGTCTCCATATCAGGACAACTTCTCTTCCAGCTGAGGAGAGCTGGAGGCAGCCTCTCCCGACTCCCAGCCAGCACGCAGTTTTCCTGATCTGCTGGGCACAACCTCCTCAGCCCTGGCTGCCCTTCCCCTTGCCCCCACCGTGTTTTACTCTTGGTTTTCAACACTTGGAGGGGTCTGTGCCCGCTGACAGAGAAACCCCCTCCCTGCGCCGGGGGACCCGGAGGAAGGTCAACACCCGCTAAAAGCACATACCTGGCTGAGGAAAGCCGGCGGCTCCCTGGCAGAGCTGGTGCTCAGCACTGGAAAGATTCACCAGCACCACCACGAGCCAAGTGAGGCCAAACCCCGGCTCCTCGCTCCTCACCCTCTCTCCCTCCGCAGGGCGTGTGTGTTCTCACCCTTCCCACCCGCACCCTCTGCTCTAGTTGTGACGCTAATTACGGAGAAGCAGCAGCAGATGCCTCTAGTCTAGAGGCAAGGGATTGTTCCACGAGAAGTGGAGAACCGCTTTTTTTTTTTTTTTTTGCAGCGGTTACGCAGAGAGCTCGGCTTTTCCTCCGAGAGCAGCCCGGGACGGGGCTGACGAAGGAAAAAACGTAAGAGAAAATTAGCAGCGGCTGCAGCCGAGCGCGCGTGTCACCCACCCACACGTGGGCGGGAGGCCGTGCCCCGTCCCACGGCCGGGCTGGCAGCACCGCTTCGCGCCGCACACATTCCCCACAGCCCCCGGCGCTCCTTTTTCCCACCGCTGCCGTGAGAGCAGCGCAGCTCCCCGGGGCTCCGACAGCCCCTCGGCACCCCCCCACCCCCCCCCCCGGGCTCCCCTCACAGAGTCCCGACACGGCCCCGGCCCCTCATCCTCCCCCCGCCAGCTCCTCCATCATTAATAGCTTTGCCCCATCCCTAATTAACACCGACACACACAACCCCCCCGCCCGTCCGCCCGTCCGTCCGTCTCCCGTGCCCCCCCATTAGTGCCCCTGTCCCCATTAACACCCGCGTGACATTAAAAGCAGACACCACCCCTCCCTCCCCCACCCCCCAAAAAAAAAGGCACCGCAGTGACATCATGCACGCACCCCCGTGGCGTCAGCTTCAGCGGTCTGACGCAGGTCTCCCTTCTCTCCTCAGCCAATCAGCGCGCAGCACTCGGCGGCACCCCGGTACATCGGAGGGAAGGGAGGAGGATGAGGAGGAGGATGAGGAGGAAGGTGCCGGTGCCGGTGCCCCCCGCGCCCCGCCCGCCCCCCCCCCCCCGCGCTGAGGGAAGCGGCTCCGGCCCGCGGCCTCCCCGCGGCTGCGCAGCGCGCATGCGCTGAGACGCTACCCGCCCCCGCCCAATCAGCGGCGGGGCGCCGCGGGGCCTGCCGGGAAAGAGCGGGGGGCAGAAGCGAAGCGGCCCGGCCCGGCGGACTTACAGCTCCCGGCAAGCCCCGCGGGGCGGGCCGCCCTGAGAACTACCGCTCCCAGCGTGCCCCGCGCCAACGGCTGCTCCCGACCTGCCCCGCGCGGGGGGGGGGGAGGTGGGGGCCCGGCCGTTACCGCGGCCGCTCCGTGCGGGCCCCGGCGCACCGGGCAGCGCTCCCGCCGCCCCTTCCCCCCCCCGGGCCGGGGACCCCCGGACCAGCCTTCCCGCCTGCCCCCCCGCGCGGGGAAGCCGCCCCCCCTTCACTCCCGTCCCCTCAGGGAAGCCGCGCCGCCCGCCCGCCCCCCCAGCCTCCCGCCACAGCCACACCTCGGTCAACTGCACAGAGGGAGTTTATTCGTTTCACAATAACGGACTCGGTCAAACCCGAGCTCCGGCCGCCCTGCGAGCAGCCCCGGGCTTCGCTTCACCCCCCCCCCCGGGAAGGCGGCAGCAAGGGGCTCGCCCGTGCCGGCGGCCAGCTCTCCCCCCAACACCCCAGACGTGGTTTTGTTCGCAGCCGAGTGCGTTCTTGCTTTTGTTTAATGAAATCTTGGCTAAGTAACTCAAATCAGGTAGAGGAGTTTAAGACAGCTCTATGCTCGCTTATACAGTACGTGAGTGAACAGAGGAAAAGAAGCAGGACAACCAGTGAGTGAGTTGGGGCCATCATTTCCAGGTGTGCCAGCCTCACAGTGCTCTATTTACATAAATTACAGAAATTTCATATATATTTTTCTCTGAAGCCCAATTAGACAAATATCTACCTATATATAATATAAAAAATACAGAGATTTTACTTTTTTTTTTTTTTGAAGTAAAATGTACATGATCCAACTGTGAGCAGGAGGTAAACCTGGAAACTCAGGCCTGTTGCTACTGAAGTTAACACCGCACACAACACCGCTGTCAAGTGTAGCTATGTCCTCTTCCTCCAACCCATATGTTCTCATGGGAAAAAAAAAAAAAAATTTCAAGTAAAGATGAAGATGGGTTTTCACCATTTCAACAGTTCTGTGACTTCAGTCAGTAGCAATGCAAACAAAGCCTGTGCAACAGCAGCTGTGCTTCCTGTTCCAAAAACCACCCAAGCATCCCGCCCTCTTCATAGTTACCATCTTTGGGGTCTTGTTGCCTTTTTTTTTTTTTTCCTCCTTGTAAATGTCACTAGCAGTTCTTCAAAAAAACCAAAAAAAAAGTATCTAGACAAAGGGAAGAAGCCTTCCCCCCAGAAAAATCTTCCCAGGAGTGGGAGAACTTCCCATTTCTCTGTCCATTTACAGTATCTTTCAGGGGAACTTGGCCCAGGTGCAACAGGACTGTCCGCTGACGGAGGGTTGCAGAAAGGCCAGGGCTAAACTTTGCTCTTGGCAAATTAGAGTCTTTAATAAAGAGTAACATGTGCAAAAAAATTAAATAGATCAACCCAGGATTCCAGAATTATTGTTGTCAGAATGCTTACTTTCTATTTGTGTTCTTACCCAACCCAATGCTGAAATCTCAGTTAAGTACCCGAGGTAAGAAGTGACATTTGGGAGAGATCACCACAAAGGAAAAAAAAAAAACCCAAGAGGTGCAATCTGTTACCTCAGTGTCCTTCCTCCACCCAGATGCCTGCTTTAAAAGACATGTATGCAGCAGCAAAAAGAAAAAAGTGTAAGAACATCCCCTTCTCTTCGTGAGGACAAAGCACTGTTTCTAGTTGTTTGAAGGAAGAATAGTTTCCTAACAGGTGGAGTGGGTGTTTAGCCTTCCGTTTGCAAGGAGGGGATGGGGCGATCAGCTGCTCCCAGTTGCTTTCTGGCAAGTTTGTCATGTTCTTTTCCCCCCAGGCACATTATAGCTGGAAACCTTCCATGGGGGCTTCAGGTTGCTGGAAGATGAATTGCTGCTGGTTCTCATCTACCTGGGGAGCTAGAACGGAGTCATCCTCTACTCCAAAGTAGTGCTCAATCAGGTCAAAGGCCTTCTGGTAGATCTCTTGGTTCTCATGACTCTGTAGGAACTCTATCTTATCCAAACCTTGGAGGAACAAAAAAAAAAGAAGTGGTACATGATGAAGCAAGGAGATCCTGATATTTACACCGTCCCACATCCACCCTCCACCCTGCTCCGTGCAAGACCTTTCGTCTGTGTTAGATTTGCATTTTGTGAGCAGCACTGACACCTAAAGCTAACAATTTCAGAGCTGCTTGTGGACTTCATCTGTATCAGGCAGCATGAAATGTCTTTTCAACAGTAGGTTTAGCTGAGACAGCTAAAGCAGATGTGCTCCCAGCTCTCTGCTGGGGACTAAACCACATTTCAGTGAAATTAAAACAACTGGCTGTGAACAGTTTGGCAGTTGCAGGGGGTAGGGAGGGGAAGGAAGCAAGGCCCGTCCCAGTAGCCTCCAGCAGAAGGGCAGCAACAGCTTTAGCTGTCCTAATTAAATCCACTGCTGAACAGAAAACATCCAAGCACAATATACTCTCAAGAATTTCAAGAATTATTCTTACTGGGAGAACCAGGACACACAATGTAACAGTCAGTGAGAGGGCAAACCAGACACAGGCAATATACAGAGAGTTTCAGACCAAAATAGGAACTGCTCCTCAAAGCATTAAGAGCAGCACAAAACCCCCATCAAATTAAGTCTCTCCAGGGAAAAGCTAAGTCTCTCTGGATTTCCACTATACATCTACAGTGAACAACCGGGTACAGTTAGAACAATCCTAGACCCAGAAGTGTCACTTTATACTTAGCTCAGCTTATCTCTGATTAATACTTCCAACTGATACAAGCCACAGTTACCAGCTTGGCCTCCAGGTTTAGGAAGCTTGGACCAGAAGTATGAGTTTTTACTTCCAAGTATTATGGTGGGGCATAGGACAAAAGAGTCTAAAAAAAGGACAGACTATCGGAGCAAATATTGGCTAATTTGGAATATGCCAAATCCCTTAACACAGCAGAAAACCAACCAACAAAACTAGCAGACACCTTCCAATACATCCTACAGTGTTCAAACTCAATAGCACCAAGGCCACCAGCCCCAACCTACCATAGGCCTCCTCAATCAGGCTACAGTACGGGTTGATGCCGGTCCCGCTCTGGTTGGCTTCCTGCTCCCCAAGCCTCAGGATGTTCTCTAGGCCATTCAACGCCACCTGAACAATCTTGGAGTCCATGACAGTCAGCAGGTCACAGAGAGGCTTGATACAACCCAAGTTAACCAAGTATCTGAAGAGAGAGCACCAACAACATACACTTGTTCAGGATCTAGCAAGCATTACTTTTGCTCAGTTAGAAAGAATAAAGTAAAGGAGTCAAACAAATACAAAAAGTTACAATATATTTTTACTGTTCTGCAAGGTTAATTTTTATCCATTTACTTGCATTTGTATACACACCCCTTCTTTTAAGAAACCTGCTAACTCCATTTGAAATTCAGCTGCTACTCAAATTAAGTCCACCTTGGAATTAAATTTGTCATCAAGGTTGGACATTTAGCCTAGTCTCAGCTATCTAAAGGGGGAGGGGGAAAGTAGTTTGGACTAGCTTATCCTTCCTCAGAAGAAAGCTGCAATTTACAGCACATTATACAATCCAGCTACAGTTTTGCCTGTGTCTCCGGGGTGCTCTCCCAGAGGTTCTCCAAATTACTCCCTTGCTGCTTGTATTGCACTAAGTACAAAGCTACCATTCATTCAGGCAGATTTCCCCCAAGAGGAGCCACAGGGAGTACCTGATCTGTTCGGGAGTTCCTCCTGACGTTGCATTTGTAATAGCCCATGCTGCCTCTTTCCTTGTACGGAATTCTGCTTTCTGCAAGATTTCTATCAGTACCGGGAAAATGTTTGCATCTATGACCGCCTGGGGAGAGAGAGTAGTAAGAAGTGTTTGAATTGGCAACGCGGTTTCTAAAAGGCTATTAAGCACCTGAAAGAAACCTCTACCTCCATTTCCCAATGCAAAAGAAACTTTCCAAGCTGTCCCCTTCAGCAATTCCTCCATTTTATTTCTCAGCCAAATCCTATTAACATGAGATATTCAATTCCAGAACTAGCACAGCAGACAATCGCTATTACTGCATCAATACTGTAGGAATGCTCTCATCACTTATCTGCCTCTGTATGTAGGTCATTAAAAGGATAATTAAAACTCAACAAGCTTCAGCTTTTCAAAGGGGTATCTCAAATTTAGCATGGAGAAATAGGGGCTGTATGTCCTCTTATCCCAATGATCCAACCTGTGGGACTCATTTCAGGCTAGTCTGTGTTAGTACAATTAGCAAGCTTTTTTTAGCTCGTTTGGCAGATGACTGGGAGCAGCAAATTTGCAAATTACTGCAGAATAAGAGATACGAGCAAAACTAGCCTCTAAGTGTCAGATAAAAAAAAAAAAAAGTTGTAAATCCTTAATGATGAGCTTGGAATCAAACATTATTACAGGTAAGTTGGAGAAGACAGTACCTGTATTTGTGCTCTGTTTCCTGCTGTGATGTTAGATATAGTCCAGCAGGCTTCTTTCCTGATTGACTCCTTGGGACTACTTAATAAATGAAGGAGACAAGGCAGGGCTGAACAGTTCAGAATCACCTTTTGAGAAAGAAAGCAGAAGTGAGATCACCAGTATCAGGTACAGAGCCGACGGGCACTGCATCTCCCTGCACGACAGTCGCTTCCCCTCACCTGGGTCTGGATGTCATCCCCTGTCACGATGTTGCCAACTGCTCGCAAAGCAGGGGAGGCCACTTTGTAGTCATTGTGCCTGCAGGAAAAGCAGTGCAAGGACAAAACCAAATCTATCAGATCACATGCACCTGGATATTCAGAAGATTCTCTCCCCAGTATCTCATCTGCATTATTTACTTAGAATTCCATCCCCTAGCGTATAGAAACATACAGTAAGTTGACCATATTGTCACTGGACAAGCATACTGAAAACAAAGGCGCAATAGTTTTCATCCTTTACATCCTAACTCCATCATCTTCAGCTTAATTACTGATCTCACCTTTTACATACCCTTCCTGAACAAAAATGTTGTTAACCCAGTGAGAACACTCAGAGTTTCAGGAGAATTTTGGAAGCAAGTATCTCACCGTTATACCAATTCTGAAGGTGTTAAAGATTAGAAGCCCATTCAAACTGCAAACATTTTGTCTGAGTTTCCATACAGATATCAGAGAAACAAAGCCAAGCTGACTCTTGCCAGACGCTATTCTTGCTATCTTTGATTTGCCTAGTAACTAGGCTTCCATAAGCATATTTGAAAGCCAGAGCACAAGAAACTGCAGTCCACTCTTTCACAGACTAGAAGTATCAGTGACCTCTCTTCAGTAATTTCTTCCTAGCATACAGTATTAACTAGCATTCCAACACTAGAAAATACCCAGCCTCCCTCAGAAAGAAAAGCCATTAACTACAGCTCTCAGCCTGCTTCAGACTCTCCTGCATACCTGCTCCCAAGTCAGCTAAAGTACCCAACACCTGGATCCTGGGCACACAAGGCATGAAGAGTGCTCTGATGGGTTTTGATATGAACTCACACTCAGTCTCACACTTCCCAGTCTCACTGGGCTGAAGCAGCAAGACAAGATACTTACATTAACAGCTCCACCAGTCGCCGACACACTCCCGAGTCAATAACTGCCTGGATTTTCTCATTGGGGCCATCTGATAAGTAGGAAAGAGCCCAGCATGCATCTGCCAGCAAGTCAGAGTCACTGTTGAATAATAATCGGGACAACACTGGCAGGCAGGGAGACACCTACAACAAGAGCCACCACCCAGAAGGTTAGTCATGTTCTGTCAAGGACCACCACATTTGCATGCAAACACCATGTGGCTATGCTGACTGGCAAGATAACAAGTCTTGAATGTCCACAGTTTCCTTCCCCAAAGTCAGCAGCTTCCTTGCTGGTTCACATACCTCATAATCACAGTGTCTAAAGTTACCTCAACAGCTTTATTGCTAAACTAAAATTACATCCCTTCCTCTCGGACCATGGCTAGGCTCCTGAGACAAGTGCTACTGTGCATGCTACTGTTCGGAAGTTCCTTACATGTCTCATTCTTTCATTTCTTACTCTTAATAACCCTACATAGCTCAGTATTTAAGAGCAGCAGCCATCAACAGTTACACCCCTGAATATTTCAATCATTTAAGTGCTTTTACATTCATACTCAATTCAAATTTCATTCCTCGCCACAGGCTTCACAGCTTTGACACAGAAACTTTCATTCTAAAAAAACTGTAACACATTGATCTTAAAACATTTTTGTCTACCAAAGAAGGATGAGACACCCAGAAGGCCAATAGAATCTTTTGTTAGTGCCAGTAGCACACCAGGAAAGGAAAAGAGGAAAGCTATTACAGCTCTCACATAGATACAGGCGTCCTGTTTTGTAGCATTTAAATGTCTTGGAATCAAGTTTTTAGTCACAATTTGAATTAAGTCTCAAAATTGCAAAGTTCATAACAAAAGGGTTTAGAGAAGCCCAGTTGATGCTACCTTGCAGGGAAGCCTGGGCTTTTGCCTCACTTGAGGGGTCTAACAGACTGGCTGACAACAGAGCCAGGCAGAAAGGTTGGCAGAAAATTAAACAAGCACTCCAACATCTGCTGAACAGCAAGATCAACCTCAGTAGGAAGAACCTCACCCTGTTCTCTCCTGGAATAATTTACAGAAGTCCAACAGCCAAAAATAACGTAGACAAACATCTTGACTAGGTGTCTCCCCATCTCATGTCTTCTAACAAGGCATTTATTCTCACCTTATCGAATTCAGGTGGTGGACTCTTTCCTCTGCACAAGTTTGACAAGGCCCAGACAGCATTTCGTGTCATTGTCAACCTGGTGGACTTCGTAAGGAGCCTAAAGAGACAATTACCATAAATTATAATCCTCGATGTGGAAGCCAGCAAGGGAACCAAAAGAAGGAAAGCTAGTACTATTTTAAGGAAGTGAAACCACTACTCCACTTGCTGTAGCTCAAGCCATGCTGCTTGCCACTTGAGCCTCTCAATAAGCAAGAAGAGAAGTGACATGCAACCGCTTCTCAGGATAAATAGCTATTATTCCTAGCAACGTTGAGTGACATGGGTCAGGAAGACAAGTTTGACATTAGACAAGTTGCAGAAAGAAGGGCAAGTTAGTCAGATGAAGTTCCAAGTTCAAATTCGGCCCAGGCAAACACTTGCACCCCTATCTGAGGTCAGGTGGTCCTCCCTAGAGACCAAGTGACACAAACTGCTGTCTCTCAATTCTAACGAGGACAGTGAGTCCTGTGGGCTGAGGACTTCAGTCACCAATCACTGCTGACAGGTGACTGACAGAAGTAGAAGTGTAACAAGCCAAGTCATTTGTGACAAAGCATCAGGTTGCCAAGGACAGGATAAAGTAAAGATTAAGTCTTTCCAGAGCAGTGAAGAGTACTTGAAAGCACACTTCTGATAGGCAGATCTTCTGACTCGTGTGGGTATGCACCACACAAGAGCTGCAGAGGCAAGGTGGTGTAGAGAGACTTGATCCCTTCCCTCAGTCCTAGAAGAGCCCCCTCAGACAAGCACCTGAAATCCATAGGATAAGCACAAAGAGCAGGCATCTGGAGGGACACACAGTGAAACAGCAAGCCCTGTGACTTCAGAAAGACAAGGAGACTGCACCAGGACCCACTTCAGATTCAGAGCAGTGTAAAGGTTTGTGAGAAGGCATGTTATCTACCAAGTCCCACTCTATTTATCAGATACTTGTCCGAACTGCCAGTTTATCTGGTACCAATGGTTTGATTCCCAGTGATCACCACCACACATTGCTAGGGAATCTATTCGCTCAGCTCAAATATTGCTCTGCTGTAGTACAATGGGACTTCAAGAACTGTATTGGCAAGTATTCATGGCTACTCACATTAATAAGGGAGGAAGAATAGCGCAGTTAAGGACATAATCTCTACACACAGAGCTGTCTCCAGCAATGTTCCCCAATGCCCAGACAGCCTGAAAGGAAAGAGCAACAGTTTTAGCATTCACACAGTTTCTGAACAGAGGAAGAAAAGGGTAGTGTGCCAAGAAAGCATTTTCTCTGTAATTCCAGGCAAACAATACTTCAATTTGTGGTCTGGAACCAGTTGTTAGACACTGGTCACTCATTTTAAACACTGCATTTTTATCGTGTGCAATCCACTGTGGTTCACTCCCTAACCCCAAAGAAAGAAGTGAACCTTACCTGTTCTTGAACATCCTCAAAGTCAGAGTTTAACAGCTCTATAAATATAGGAACTGCCCCAGCCTCAATTACTATTTTTGTTTGTTGGGAAGTTCCTGATGCAATATTCGTCAGTGCCCACGCTGCTTCAAACTGAAACAAGCAAATAAATGACAAAAGCATTAATAAAATAATCCAAATTTATCAAAATATTTGACATTAAATTTTAGCTATGATTTTTTTCAGCTTCTACTAAAAAGGTTGTGAGAGAAAGAAAGCATATCATAGCAAAACACCTCAATACTTAAAGGATTTTATTTTCTTGAGGAAGAAAAAAACCCACATCCGCTAAATGCCTTCTCAGAGGCTATAGCTTCTCAAAGAATTAGAAAGTGAAGACATCCCTGTCAGTCACACATCATTTCACATATACCACAATTTTCCAGCCAGAAAAGTGAAGCCACATAGCGCATAAATACATGTGGAATAGAAAGTTTTCTGTATTTGGTGCAGACTAGCCAGTTCTAGCCCACCCTCTTGTCTGGCTAGCACCACCCAGATGCCTTGAGTTCAAGTGAAGCTGAGCAGCAAGTTCCCTGCTTTTGCTACTCATTCTTTGGTTTAAAAACAGATTTCCATTCAGTTCTTCTTGAAAGTAAGCCCCTATGATACAGGCCTTGGGCAAGAGGGCAGGAAGAAAGATAAAGGTAGTCATCAACTCAGATCCAATTCTATGTATGGAAGTATCTTTAACCCCTACAAAGTAACTATAGTTATTACCAAGCTGGAAGGAATTTCAAGAAGCCATCTAGTCCATCCCTCTGCCCCACAGAAGGATCAGCACTACCTAACCCATTTCTAACAGATTCTTAGCCTGTACTTAAAAGCCTCCAATAATGCAGGTTCTTCCTCACACAATTTCTTCCTACACATTTATTCTGTGGCTCCACTACCTCCAAGAAGAAATATCAGACACGGGAAGGCTAAATTCTTTTCTGCTGCAGCTGACCTATGTTATTTTTGCCAGCATTCTTCCAATAATTTAATTTAGAGCAATTTAGAATTTTCTTTTTTTCACCTAAGCATTACAGGTTACCTTTGTCTTCTCCTATATATCACACAACCTGCGTCTTTTTGGTTCAAGACATCACTTTTCCCTGATAGCACCTGTGGGTTTCATGTTGCTAAGCTGTGACGGTTAAACAGGTACATGCCATGAAAAATTCATAACACAATCTCCTTTACCTGTAGCGTGCAATTTTCACTTCTTTTAAGGAATTCAACAAATCTGTCCACCACTCCCTGAGTGTTTATCACTTCATCTATTGGAGGATTCGGCTCTGAAATAGCAAGGCAGTGTCAGAACAGGATATAGGTCTAACGCAGGGGAATAACAAGCATGAACTATTACTGAATTGAATGATCTCAGGCTGTACTGAACTCAGCGGCAAAACTCTCCAGAATCACTTTCTGTACAAGTCATACAATTGTAAATTATTTGCAATATGCTAGATTATCAAATTTCTACACTGTAACTTTCTTTCCCAAGCTCAAAGCTGGTGAGCTTCTGTACAGCTATATGCATGCACAAATGCTTGCAAAAGAAAGGCTACATCAGATCCTATGGCAGGAATGAGTTATTTTTACCTTTGGAGAGTAACTTCCTGAATTTCTGAGTGGTTGCTAGCTGTAGATCAGGGTCATCTGAGAAAAGCATCTCTACCATCTCTCTTGTGATCACTCCCTCCTGAAAAGATGCAAAGGAGACAGAACAATGGTTCCATTTCACACTGAGATTATTTCAGGCATTAGTCATGATAGCCTACCATGATTCTGTGCTTAGCTAGTAACTCAAAAATTCACAACTTGAGATTACAGCACACTATTTACTTCCTGGCAGACTTTTCCAGTTAACTGTAGTAACATTTGCAACATTCTCAAAAGTGAGAAAACAAAAGCATTGAGGTTTGTCAGTTCTATGCAGTCCACAGCATTAAATCTGTCTGCAGGCACGATTGCAACAAGGAAAGGCACCTTACCCCACATGTGGTGGAACTAACATAAGAATCCACAAGGAGACTATCAAACATGGAGGCATCTTCATTGATCAATTCCACATTTCTTCTTTTAAAGAGCTGGTGGGGAATAAAATGCAGGAGTCATTATTAGAAAGCAATGATGAACAGTCTTCATAACTAGACATTCTTGTTTCTCAAACAAGATACCGTCAACTAGACTGAACACAACCTGAATATAAAAGTAGTCATTAATAACAGCTCTGCACTCTGAAGACTAGCTTGGCATACAAGCCCCAATAATAAAACATGCTAAGTCTTGTCCTCAGATACACAAATGCCCAAGTCACTGAGACACTGGCACAAGCAAGTGCAGAATTTGACATAACAAATTAGGGAAACTGGGGAGAAGGCAGCTTGTAGATGACACACTAATAGAGCAAACATTTAGTCTGAGCCACATATGTCACCTGGGAATCAGCTCTTACTTTCATAGACCTCCAAGCCAAAAAAAAAAGAAAAAGAAAAAAAAACAAAAAAACCCAAAAACCAGCTCAGTTAAGAAATAGGTGCAGCCCATACTTTCACTTATTCCTCCTGCTTCTTGAGGAAATAACCCCATTCACTAATCAAAAAAAAAAAAAATTAAAAAAATCAAAAAACCCACACCCCTTAAAAACAAGGATCTGTGAACAAAAACCTCCAGTACTCCAAGGACAAAGTGTTTGGATAGCTCTTGATGTGAGCTACACTCTGTACTAGGTACAAAGAAAAAGAGAAGAGCAAGATCTCAGTTAGAACAGGAAAAATAAGAGGACTGCCAACGAACCTTAATGCACAGATCCTTGAAGATTCCAGTTTGGCAGCAGCACAATCCTGGCTGTGTTAAGGCTGTACACAAGCTAGTCAAGATGACAGTTACCTGTTGCTCTCGTTTCTGTTTGCGCAGTTGAATTCCTTCCTCCTCTCTTCTCCGACGCATTTCCTCAGGATTTAGGGCTTTGTTCTTGTAACTCTTCATTCGATAGTTATCCTTTGCAGGACTCGCCATGGTTTCTGTGAAGAGAAAAAACATCTGCCTCAGATTTCTTGTCTCACTCTGCTCCTTTGCCCACATGTCCTTTCTGACAAGGAGGTCTGTGCAGGTGAAGGTGCATGGAGTAGCCAGATTAAACAGATTTATTTGCACGAGCTGGTGTCAAACACTAAAGTAGAAGCCTCAAGTTAGAACGTGATCCTAACCTTTAGTTCATGTGATATGCTGTTACTGCTAGAATGTTATAAAGTTTTTACAAAGCACAAGAATAGATTTACTGTTCTGAAAGGAACATGGATCCAACTTCACAATATTGAGCACATTATTGATATGGATGGCTTCTGCTCAAACAGCTTCACTGTCCTCAGGAGGTGCATCACTAAATTCTACTTTGGATTTCAGCAGAAATTATTTCACCTGTATCATCATGGCATAAACCACATCTTGATTTTCAGCGCCCCTCAGATTGAGATGTTCACTGTGTATGCATGGCAAAAATCCAACAGAACTCACAGCAAACTAAGCCCTTGATTTTATAACAACAATAAAAAGCCTTGCAAAAAGCAGACCTGTACATAACGTATAGGCCATGTTTGTCCCATCAGGTTACTGCAAGTGTTTTAATACCTGACCTACTTATTTTGTTGCTTCATACCTGACTAATGCACTACTTCAAACTTGATTACTTGTGTATTTGCCTCCCAGTCAGGGAAGTGACACTCCACTATTTGGCAGAGTTAAAGGCAACCAGGGCCAAGTAGTAACCTAAGTACAGAAGGATATCAATTCCTCAGCTGCATCCAGCTGTAATCCACTGCTTCGACCATGTCAAATCCTTTTTGCATCTTTCCAAACTCTCACTTTCTCCCATTTATGATACAGATTACTTGTTTAACCTCAGTGTCTTTCTCAGAACAGGAAGGAAGCAATCATGACACACAACATCAGAGTGCAAATTAAGCCTGAAAACAACTTAATCTTCTTCAGAAGTTTGCTGGACACCAGTATCTTTGTTTTCTTCCAACTGCTAAGGGCAGGTGGAAGAAGCATCCTGTGAAAGTTTGCAGCGCTATCTCCTTTTTCAAGCTTTAAGCACTTCTCAGCCACCTCCTTAGAGAAAGTTTCAGTCTGACTTATCAACTGCCTCCAGCCATTCTGGAGCAAATCCAAGATCAGCTGGAGGGGTTTCAGACCTTACTGCCCTCCTACTAGGAAAGCCCACAGTCAAGCCAAGAAAAGACATATACAGTATACAAACATCTGATATTTCATTGCTGTGGAAAGAGAAAACAACTGGAAAAATTAATATTTTAACAGGAGAGGAAACAAAATACTTTCAGTTCTATGATTTCCCCAAAACAGTTTAAAAGACACCAAGCATTGTGAAAAAGCCTGTTTCACAGCATCTGCTTTCTAAGAGAATATTCTCTTCCCTAGCCAAAACAGCAAGAGGACATTCTTCTGAAAAGCAACAGATAAAGAAAAAAAACACCAAACACCAAGTTCCCCTGTCATTTACACTGTAATAGAGATGCATGTCCCTGGCAAATGGCCCTGACCCCACGCTGCCCAGAGCTGTGAAACAGCTTTGAAGCTCAGCAACCGCCACCTGCACCCAGAGAGAAAACCAGGCTTGAAGAGGTACAGCATGATGGGTTGCAAGTTTATTGGCACCTCTGAAGCTAAAAAGAAGCCACCAACCACAACTCATCATCAGTAAAAGCAGTATTCCAGTGCCAGGTTAGAAAGCCTTTTTCAGTAACTTGCTTAGAGCACAGTAAGTGGCCAGAAGTTATAAGAAAAAGGGATTACACCACACTGATCATCACTAAGGAAAGGCATATAGCCTCAAAACCAATTACAGGGTTGAAGTAATCAAATGACAGCAGGTCTTGCAAGATCTTGAGCCTTATAGAAACTTACCTTTAATCCCTTCCCCAAGTACCTCATTTGATAAGGTCTGTCCTCAAGAAAACCAAGGCAAGAAACCTACTTACACCACACTAGCGACAGCAGTTGGACTATACCTTGCCAACAGCCTCTCTGTGAAGCCTGTATTAAGTTTTTTTCCCCGAGTTTATTTCTCATAAGTCAGAGGTTCAGAGGAATAGCTGGCCTGTTTCTGAAGGTATTTGACAGCACCTTCCTCATTCTAAAAGACTATTTACATGGCAAGGAAAAGCAGAGACTGAAGATCATGGGAACTATGCAACTGCTCTCACTTGTCCACCCCTCTCCCCAGCAGCACTGCATACCAAGAACAGAGGGAAGAATTTTATTATTATTTTTAACTGAAAAGCAGCTAATTCAGAAGACAGAAGATTTAAAAATCTACAGGCTTTAGGGGTTTATATCTGATCTTACAGTAGTAAAGTGTACCAACTACATATAGATTTTAATTCGGAAAACGTATTGAACTATCACTGTTCTGTCAGCGTATTCATAATACTACCCTAATGCTACTGGCTAATACAGCCACACAAAAGAGTAAGAGCTTAATTCTGAAGATTACAACAGAATCCCTAACAAAGGCAAATTTGTTAACTCCCTTTGAAAAGCAAGGTCTCCAATTAAAAGGTAGTTTTTAAGAAAAGGAAGAGGAAAAAGTGATTAAGTGACTTAACACTACACATGGTATTACCAGCCAGTCATATAAATAGCTGAGTGACATGACAGTTCAGCTGCCTCTGAACTTGCACAACCCCACTCAGCTGGGCACACTCTGGACCCTGCTCCGGGTGTCCAGAAAACAGCCAGAGACACTCAGCCACACTGCAAGGTCTCAGGACACTCTAGAGCATCACGAACGCTGTTATGCTGCAAGAAAACCCCAAAGATACAACCAGCCCCTGAAGAGTGATTTTTTTCACGTTGACTGTAACAGCATATCGCTGTGCAACAGTCTCTGTGTCACTTAATTTTCTGTTTTCTCTCATACACATGTATCTCCTCAGATGATTTCCATTGAAATACTTTAATGACATTAGAATCCTAATTTTTTGCATTACGCCCCATTGCCATGGCAATGGATGAATGCCACGAATGCAGGATTATGACTTCACAGTGAACTCAGCAGATGCTGTAGGCACCACAGACTGCAGCAAGCCCAAACACATGAAACAAAACAGACAGCGGGATGCCAGGCACGTACAAATTCTTTACTTGTAGTGTTTCAGTACAAAACATCTAGCTCATCCACTGTATCTGCAAGCTAGGCTTCCTCATTAACTATAAACTCAAATTCTATCAGTGTGAATATCCCCAAAACAATGCCACTAAATCATGACTATTGCAATAACCTGGCCTGTCAGGTTCAGGAAAACAATCATCTGCTCATAGATGAGTGATGCACAGAAGATACTCAAAGCACAGATTTTCACTTTGCATCTTAACAATGTTGCTCTGAGAAGCTTCACTTTTACAGAAAAGCTCTCCAGTGTGAAGTAACAACGGAAACCTAACTAGAGCAAGTTTCTTCTACTGCTTTAAAGTTTTAGCCGCTGCATTTAGGGAACCACCTTAACCTCTACAAAATGCTGTCCTACTAGGACAACACCTTGCACTGCACCTCTCCTAGGGAAGGTTTTTCTTTTCTAAGAACCAGCTAAGCCCTGCCTTAAATGAAGATAGTATCAGCTCACACCCTAGAATTATAAAATTCTTCTGATGTTGTTCCAGCCAGGACTCCAGGGCTCCAAGCTTACCTGCAGCTCTCCAAGGAAGCTGGGCAATAAGGCTTTTTTCTTCTATACCACGGCAGCTCACCCAGAACAATGTGTGCAGCCTGCAGCTGCTCTGCATACCCCTTTTTCTTGAGGCCACACCAAACAGACTCCACACCAGATAAGTGGTGAGAGGCTGCAGGCACTGCCAGAACAGTTTATCTCTCCCCAGAAGCCACCCCCTGACCACCGTCCTGGCATGACAGGTACAGGTGCCCATCCACGTGATGGGGAAAGGCTGCAGGCACCCAAGCACAAGTAGGCACAGTGCTGTGAGTCCATCTAACAACTTCCTGAAGAAAGGGTGGGCTTACTGCACATCTTTCAAATACCCCAGTACATGGCAATGCAAGAGGGATTTGCAGGCATTTCAGTAGTATGACCAGACACCACAATCCCAGCATCATACCTTTATACCTTAACAGGGATAAACCAATATTTTCACTCCCAGAGCTGCTCAGGCAACAAGCTAAGCTCAACCCTGTCTGCCCAGGTGCAGAAGCATGTCTGTGTGGGAGCGGGACTGTTAGGCAAGGGCCAGAGCTTGCCCTGTTCTACCAGTATATCAGTACAGCACGAATACATTGTTAGAAAAGAGGAAAACAAGAATTAGGACAGAATTAGAATGAGGCACCTCCTCCACCAGTGAAAACAGTAGCATAGCTTTACCAAAAACAGCAAAAGCCAGTCCAGCTTCTTGTGTTTCAGGCCCTTCCTTGCTTATACTTCATTCCTACCAACCTCCTGCTGCAGGAGCCAGCCTAGTTTTCTAGGAACCTGGTTTCTTCTGAGCTCAGCATTCCTTGCATTACCCTGAAACAGTACAATCTCTAACTTCTCTTTTTTCACTGGTCAATTAGAACTGACTAATGGAAGTCCCTCTGAAGTACCCATGTTTCCTAAGCAGTATATTGCCATTCCTGACCACTGGTTACAGAGGGGCTCAGTGTACACCACCCTTACCTCAACCTCTTCAGTCCAATTCACCTTCCCTAGAGCAGAATTAAAAACCGCAAAAATAAAAGCTTGCACTGCATTAAAAAAGCCTGAGTCTGCAGAGCTTTCAACCCATCTCTTCCCAACACCTCTGCAGACCAAACAGTTCTACAAACCTACAAGAGTTTTAACACTGTTTCCAAATACAAAGAACACTTGAGAATCTGCTGTTTACATCAGAACCTCACAGAGTTCACTCAAGAAAACAGTAAACTTAGACTTGCAAGACTGATTCCATTTAAAATAGTGTTCTGAGAGAGCTTGGACAAAATATCACTTCTGCTGTAGCAATCTCCTGGCCC